GAATTTCTGAGCGGTTTCGTTTTTTTTATCGATTGAAAAAATTTGGATAATGTATATTAAAGTTTGAGCTGAATGCCTTAATGTTTGTGCAAATTTTCTTGTTATAGCGGGGGGCGCCATCGCGCATCCAAAAATTACTAATATACAGGGATGCTGTGGGAATCAAATAAAACTGTGATATTTCTCTGTTTAACGCGAAATTATTATTTGAAGAGGTTGTAAGGTTCCGTGCGTTGCGAGCATGGCGTCGCTGCTTCTCTTATTGTGAAGCATGCTAACCGATCAAACATCCTGTTTCAGTTAAAACCTGAATGGGAATTTTGATTTAACACCACATATTTCCTTATCTGATCGTATCTGGGGGTTTTCTAATTTTTGTTAAAAATTAAATTTTGACTTCACAAGGCACTTCGGCTACGTGATATTTGCTCCCTTTAATTTTACACGGTCCCGGTGGGCAAATGAAACCGCTATCAACGAGAATTTTGATCCACACGGGTCATAACACCGCGTTTCTCGAACAAAAGTACCACTCAAATTCCAGTCAGTTTAAAGCAAATATATACCTTGTGCGTTTGTTCGTGTTTTTTTTTCGTAATTTAGTGTGGGGCCTTGGCTTTTGGTCATAACCGTTTAAGTTTGCATTGTGAAAGAAATGCGTTTTTGGCGATAAAACCCATATCCTGATGCTTTTCCCTATCTTGGCTCAAGCGCAGATGGGGTGTTTCGTTGCCTGCATGATGTGGAATTGTTGGTGCGTTCGGGGCGCAAACTGCTCGCTATTGTTTTTTTTTGTTTGATCTTTGAATTGTGTATTCGGGATTTCAGCCGGAGAGTTTCAGCCCCATTTGTAAGCATAGGAGGGCGACAGGGAAGATGGTGGGCTAAAGGCTCCTCTCCTGCTCTCTCTCGTGGCGTGGGCGTGTCTGAGTGCCCCGTGCTTCGTGTCCACCCCTCTTCCACCCGCTCCTGTCTGATGGAGAAAAGTGGAGAAGTGCAACCAGTGGGGGTGTTTCTCCTCAAGGTGCTGGGGGTAGTGTGGGATATGAGCAGCCCGCACATTGTGATTTTTGGCCGCGGAGTGCTGATAGTGATGTCCAGGGTGTAGGAAGTAGACCTTTCAGTTCAAATTGGTTCAGTGGTTCTTACAGCCATGCGACTCGGTAGCCGCATGGGAATGACTGTTGCACAGGAACGAGTGGTACTCGAAATTCTGCTATACAAAAGGGGCTACCTTCTTAATATGATGGGTGTCTGGATGGGATGTAGGTGCCTGTCGGTGGCCACCACGAAGGGGTGCCGCTTATCCGCTTGCTAAACGGCATCTTTGCTCCTTTCATGCGCTTTTGGAAAGTTGTTGAAAGTTGTAATGAGCTTTGGAAAGTGCCGTTATGTAACGCATTTTGATTCTTTAATGCTTTTTTCTTTGTTAGTATTGGCCTTGTTGTGTCATGGATCTGTAAAATCATATTTAGTTAAGGGGTATTAGATCATTGGTACACCTCTTGAATGTATTATGAACGATTTATGCGAAAAAAATCAAATAGTAAGCATAGACATTTATTTAAATTACCTACTTTATCTACTTTATTAATTTTCGATATACGCACTCGATGCTCCATTATAAATTCTAAAAAGTTTTCAAGGGAAAAAGTTATAGTCAACAATGGGCGTACCATTCCTTGCATCGTAATTTGCTTGAGTAGCCCGACAAGCTTTTATGTTGTCATTATTTTATAAGATGCCACCAAGGGAATATTGTTTATTTCAAGCGAGTTTAAAAACTACAATTCAGTTGATCACCATGTACTCTATCTGCATGAGGGAAGCTAATTTTCATAACTATCATTTTACGAATCTTGCTTCCCCCGATGGAGGGTAAACGAGTGAATTTTGAAGGTAGTTTATTCGATATAACAGAGGTTATATTCTTCTAGCGACGGAAGGCTTTTTTTAAATGACGATGAATGAAATATAAATGGAAAGTGGATTAATTTCCATACCCGCGAGCATCCATATATATAAGTTGTAAAAGGGCTAGTATTTATTGTTCCACTTCATGGTTTAGCATTTAGGGGTCCTTTTTTTTTGGAGTAATTCTTGAGAATTCTGCATTATTCAAGTAAGTTGGGTATCATTTGTAAAGTCCATTTTTTCTTACTATAATCACCTTTTTCTATTCATTTACCTAACTTTTCTTCTTCAACATTAACAAAGGGGTTTTTTGATGCAATGTCTGAATCAATGCATAAAGTAAATATTCTTTCCAACCAAACAAATGCTAACCATGTTCCAGGCAGAAAGAAAGCTCATAATCCCCCCACTCCCGTTTTTCCTATCAGAAATGATCCCACTTTGGTGCAAGAGTACAGCCCAGACATATGTAACTACTTTTTACAGGTGGAACGGGAGTTGTACAGCGATAGAATGTATATGACCCGCCAACCAGAGATAACTGAAAGGATGAGAAAAGTTCTTATTGACTGGCTTACCGATGTCAATATTGAGTTCAAGAATCATTCTGAAACATTTTTTCTGGCTGTTGATATCATAGATAGATTTCTTTCCAAACGTGAGGTTTCCCGTGGTAAGCTCCAACTAGTGGGGATAGCTGCAATGCTCATTGCGGCAAAACATGAGGAAGTATGGCCTCCCTCGGTTAGAGAGTGCGTTGTGGTAACTGCGAACACATGCAGCGAATCTGAATTAATTAAAATGGAGTGTGAGATAGCTTGTGAACTCCGTTTTCGGTTTACAGTTCCAACTTTGTACCCTCTGGCTTGCTTTCTATTGAGCCTTAAAAATTATAGACCTGACATTCGTGACGCATGCTTTATGTTTCTTGAAAGCGCTACACACTCTTATATCATGTTGTCCTATTTACCTTCTCGAATTGCAGCAGCTTGTGTATTGCTTGGTGTTGCTCTTGTGGCAAACAATTCAAATCATCATATTAAGGGTTACACCCTTGAGTATTTATGGAACTACGAAATATCACCCTTTCCATATGGCATAACTCTTCATGAAATAAGACCCGTGGCGCTACAACTACTAACATTCACACAAAAACTTTGCTCAGTCCCATCAAGACTTCAAGCGATTAGAAGAAAATATCTTTCTCCTATGTTTCACGGAGTTGCTTCATTAGAATTTCCATCACCCAATTTTTTTTTGAAATGAAGATGTTGGATAGGGTGCAATAAATTTAGACTTTGTAACCCTTTGGAATCACTCTAAACAGATAAGAAGTGTAGTCGAACATTATTTAAGATCCCCGAAGTTTCTTTCTAGATGCACTGTATTTACGTCTCACATGCATTATGTATGTATGTAGATTAAAATGAGAAAACCAATATATTCTTACTGGGTTTATGCATAGATATAAATACGCAGCTTTTGAATATTTTTCCTATTTTTTCGCTTTTCTTTGAATTGACGCTCTATATTATTTATGCATGGAACACTTCCTTAAATGCTTTTAAATCCTTTTTTTGTGTTCTTGCCATGTAGATTTTATTTGTAGGGCTCATTTTTATTGATTTTCTATCAATGAGGAATAATGTTGCTCGAGTTCAAATGACTAAAACATTTAGTCATATACCGAAGGATGATAATCTTCCTTTATCTCTAGGATCTAATTTTCACGACGACCCTATTAACAGGAACACTTTACGCAAGAGTCACAATCTTTTTTTGCCTCAACAGGAAAACGGCGCACCACATACTGAATATCACTATGGAGATCTAAAAATTACACGAGATGCTAATACGATTCAGAGCGATGCAGAACAGGAGGCTTGGGATGGCTGGGGGACGGAGAAGTTCTCGAACGCTGATTATAACGATTTTGTTGTCCGGTTGCTTGCATATTTTGTAGAAAGTATAACCGCAAATTCCACAGAAGAAAAGCGTGTTCGAAAGGTATGCATCAATTTTTTTATGCATGATAACAGCATTTCCATTATAGAATTGAAGGAAGCTAATTCAGGTATTGCTCAAGGCACGATTCTCTCCCGGTGCCAGGTTCCAAAAAAATCTGATGATGATAAAGAACTGGTTTCACTCAAAGATCTTAAAATTGGTAATGAAGCACTGATATACGGCATCAATTATCATATCATCGATATGGATAGGAGAAGCCGTCGTTTTTTCAAAGAAATTCTTCATGAAGACGTCCCCCAACCTCAAGATTTCCCTTTGACGAGTGCTTCTTATTTTTCGTGTTTTCAGAAAAATAATCCCGGTCGTACGTTCACATCCGATGACATGGACCGAAAGTGTGCAATAGAGCCGCAATTCACTGAAACTTTTTCGAAGCGTTCCAAAGAGGACATTCTAATTTCTCAGCAATTTTTTAAAAATGAAATCAATGAGCACTTGTCATATCTAGCTCTCTGGGATGATCGTGGCAGCATCAGTGGGGATCTGCATTTTTGTGTAATTAAGTTATTTCTTGAAAATTTTGCTATAGAGGTGATGGAACAGAGACCCGAAAATAGTAACTGGTCTGGTGGTAAGGTCCTTATAAGTCGTCAGAGAACACCAAAACCAGGATCTGATATCACAAAAAGCAAATTCCAGGAGCACACATTTGGTAAATTGATGAAAAATGGTTATTTAGAGCCACAGGATTTGATGATCGGAGAGACTTACATAATGTACGGGAAGCCCTTTTTTATTTATGGATGTGACCAAAAAACACGGGAATACATGAAGCTGAACTTTAATATTGACTTGGGCTCAAATATTGACATCACACCTTTTACGACCGAGAAAAAACCAGAGATTCTGTTTTATCCGCCTCCTCCAAATGGGTTTGGAAGTGATTGGGGGCAGCGTGATAACTGGCTGACTCTTTGTGGTAAACCACCAAAGCAAGATTTGGAGACAATGAATAGTGAAACCGGACGGGTGCTGATCTTTGCCGCGAGGCTGGCAAACCCTCTTACTAAGGGAGACGATAAAAGAGAATTTGTGATAGTGTTCTATTGCGACACTAAAGAACTGTGCATAAATGAAAAGACACAACCGAATTCTGGCTTCACATGTGGACGTTTTTTAGCGAAAGGTCCTCACCAAAAGGAGCTTGCTAACGGCACCACTGCTCCATTTGAAGCATCTGATTTTGCAATCGGGAAGAGCATTACGATTTACAAACGGATATTTTTGCTTTGTGAAATGACTGAGGGAACAAAACGAGCACTCGAGGAAAGTGACAAGCTTACGACTGAGGATAGAATCAAAGATCTTATTTTTCTGTTCAAGCAGCAGCTGAAACTAAAATTCATGAAGGCCAGGGAGGCTTACCTGGCTCTAGCTCCGCAAGGTATTTTTGGTTATAAACAAATCAAAGATTTCCTACGCACTTGCAGTTGCAACATCAATGATGAGGAAGCGATTGTTATGGCGCAGAACCTTTTTCCAGATGACAAAAATGTCTTATCCTTCGAGACATTTTCGCAGATATTTAGTGAGATGTCAGAATCGATGGTCGGTACTTCTTCAGCATCATACTCCGCTCAGAACATAAACATGTCTGTAAAGGGATCCCAAAAGGAATCTATTTTGAAAAGTGAAGGCGATTACCGGTGTCGTCAATTGAGGAGATTTCTGAAGGAAAAACTTACACAACGGAAAGGTATTCTTCAGCAACAGTTTCGTCTGTTCAGCGAGTATAGCCTAAACAGCAGACTAAGTCGAGAGGCTTTTCGAAGATCCTTGCATAGCATAATACATTCTGGGATGGAAAAGATGGATGAAGACATGCTGGTATCTATGCTCTTTGATGGTGTAGAAGACGATAACAATGAAATCACATACACACAATTTCAGGAATTTCTAAATCAAGGAGCATCTCCTAGAAGAGGGGATTGCTTTTAGAATGTAAAGTAGCTTATTACGAATGTACAATAACTATTTATGGAAAAATATGCTGTTCAGTGATGATTTTTGACTGAATTTGTTTACCTTTTCATCAACATGAATGATGGGATTAAAGTATTTTAATCATCCCTGTCTTTGGTATCCAAATACAAATACTAATATAATTTATCTATCTATCTATCTATCTATCTATCTATCTATCTATCTATCTATCTATCTATCTATCTATCTATCTATCTATATATATATATATATGTACTTTTGAAGGGTTTAATGAAATCACTCGTTAGTCGCACACAGCGATTTCTATTTGGGACAGGTGGAACGCATGGGGGTATCCACAAAATAAAGGAAAGCACAATTGATTACACTAACTGGGCTTTGAGGAAAGAAACTTTGAGTATTCTGAAGGATATTCATCACCCCTTGGTTATTGAGTATTTATTTCGCCTAAACGAAAAGCGTAAGATAGTTGAGGAATACAAAGAAACGGTCCTACATGCTAGGGACGGTGATCTTAGGCCGAATAATAAGAGCGACGTCAGTTCATTCGACTTTGTCAAGTGGAATGCCTACTATCATGATGAATTAGGCACGGCGGAGAAAATATCGAAAATTTTCAATGAACTTGATGATAATGCCAATCTTCTTACTCAAGCGAAATCAAGAAAGCCACTAAGCACTTCGGATACGGAATTTCTTCAAATGATCGAAGATGACATTAATTTGTTGCTAATCCGAATTAAAGAATTGAATGACGAGGTTAATGCTATTATGAAGAAACGACTGGAATGTGATGATGTGATCGGTTTATCGAGTAAAGAGTGGATTATATGCGTCACTGGAAAAGCTGGTGGTATGGAGGCCGACCTTTTCGCAAGGGAACTTTTTGATATGCTCAAATCGTATGCGAAAGAGATTCGTGGCCTTCAGGTTCTTGAAGATTGTGAATCAAGTGATGGTTTTCTAGAACTTCTTAAATGCTCAGGCGGCCATCAATTTCGCGTTGCAGGAGATGAGGTTTATCGGAACTTTCGCCATGAGATTGGTGTGCACAAAGTCCAGCGTGTTCCTGTGACTGATTCCTTGGGTAAGATGCAGACGTCAACAGCTGCTGTTACTATGATGCCTGTTCTGGATCCGGTATCGGTGAACATACGCGAGGAGGATTGCACGATACAATACGTTCGTGGCTCTGGCCCGGGTGGCCAAGGCATGCAGAGTAGCTCGAACTGTGTTGTACTGACTCACATTCCCTCAGGGTTTACTGTGAAGTGCCATCAATCTAGATCCGCTCTTGGAAATAAGGAACTTGCACTGCAGATGGCTGCACAGCACATTTTGTCTCAAAGGGTCAAGGATCAGAACTCCTCGCTGCATGAAGCATGGGTAAATCAGTGGAGGAGTGGTGAGCGATCTGAAAAAATGAGGACTTATAATTACCTCCAAAATCGTGTAACCGATCACCGCCTTGGCAAGGATTATCCCCTGTCTTTTTTCATGGACAGAGGATGCGGTCTCGTGGCCCTTCATGACGAACTGAATGAAATCAGTGATCGTGAGCAGCTGAAGGCTAATTTGTTGAAGCATATCAAAGCTGACTTCGAAGGCACTGCCTACAGATTATAGCACATTATCGTATGGAGGCTGCCCTATTCACATAGTTATATCTATTTGTTGTTTTTTTTAGGCATACTCAAAGAATTGTGCGCTTAGATAGGAATTGGTTGAGGTATCACTCAATTTGTTTGCAATATGCCACTTTTCATCATTCATATGTTAGATACCTGCATAGCTAAAGTCGACGTCTAATACACTTTTTTTTGTCCAAAGGAAATATGTCTACTACCAAAAAGGATCATCCTCATACGGAGAAGGAAAAGGATAAGGCAGCCCAAGAACCAAATGAGGAGGAATCTAACAAGGAAAAGCTACCATGGATAATTCAAAAGTGGCTTAAGCTTGTGCATACACTCAGTTGCACATTTTTGGGGGGCCCGCGGCTGTTAAAAACCGCTCATGTGGTGAGCTTTCAGAAGGGGGCTACTCTGTTGCTGTGCCTGGGCATGATGCGCTTGACAGGGAACTATTCGAAGACTGCCACGACGTACACAGCCCTGCATGGGGGGTATGGACTTTCCTGGCTTCTGAAGGAGATGGTTTTCCCGGACCCCAAATGGCAAGAGCGTATCACCATTGGTGGTGCAATCAATTCCGTCTTACTCGTATTGGGCCCTTATTGGGTAATCGCCTACAATGCTATTGTTAAGAAATCGGAGCGATCGAACCTTTCTCTTTGTGCCGCTGTTGTTGTGTACACTATTGGCTTATGCTTAATGCTTGGTTCGGACTGTCAAAAATACTTCACTCTTAAGTGCAAGAAAGGACTCATCACAGATGGATTTTTTTCGCGTGTCAGGCATCCAAATTATCTTGGTGAAATGATGATTTACGGATCCTTTGCATATGTGTCGGGCAACGTCAGCTCATGGCTAATCCTTGGATGGGTGTGGACGGGCTTGTTTATACCGTTTATGCTTAATAAAGAGGCAAGTATGAGTCGCTACAGTGAGTGGAAATCATACAAGGCACGAACGGGCTTTTTAATTCCGCGCTTGTTCAGCGCCTCGGAAAAAAAGAGTTCATAATCCTACGAAATTTTCTCCAGATCGATCATTCTAGATTTGATGGAAGACCGAATACATGACATTTATTTGCATAATCCAATAGGGGACAGTATATATATACATGCTTTATTCTCCTTCCATACTCGGGGTTTGTAGGATCAAACGCGCATTGCTGATCAAAGTAAGTTTTTTTTGTATTTCATATATACGATATATATATATATATAATACCAATGAGCTCAACCACTATAATAGCAAGCAAGTCTGGGAAACCATACCTCCGACCAGATACATCCAAGACCTATGATTACGTTCCTTTTACCCCCGCTCGAAAATCGAATTTTTTCGAGAGACAAGTTTCGAGATTTTCGGCTGAAATAGGCTTTAACCTCATGAAGCCTTTTGAAAAGTTGCTGTGCATTATTATTATTGGTGCCATGATGCTTATACCTTTTGCTCTTTTCACTTTATTAAAAAAGTTTTATTTTCTTACACTTGCGGGAACTTCGTCTTTGTAGTGATAGGGGCACACAACCGATCGGATGCACGTAAGCATTAAGCATGTTCCACCACAGCCGAGATACTTCATTGAATATATTATGCGTACTTACGCTTGTGAAGGGAAATACAATGCAAAGGGAAAAAATCTACGTGCTATAATGTTCTTTTTTGAGGATTATATTTGAGAGCAGAAAGGTGATGCTAATTGTTTAAATGGGTGGGTAGCACCCCTAATAATAAGTTTCACAAATATGATTCCTCTAACTAAAACGGTAGAATACTTTTTGGCGAGAAAGTCAATCAGCAAAACTATATATATATATGTATATATAATTATTGCATGCTATTTATTATACCCTACATGTACCTTATCTCTTCGCCAGTGTGAATCGCATTACAAGTATAGTACTCTGTTATTTTTTCTTGTGAGTGAGACCTACACAAAAGTAAAAGCTACAAGCTCACATAATATTTTATCCGTCGATTTCATCATCTTGTTTGAGCATTGAGGGATATAAAGACATAATCGGAGATGTACGCAACGGTTTTCAGGAAGGCTCCTGCAAATTTACTTTCAAAAAACACCTTTCTTCCGTTGGAAGTATTAACCAAGATTCAATTAGGCATTTTTCCTCCTCTCAGCGTCCAGCGCGCCTTTTTACTGGAACACTGTAGTGCACAGCTTCAGCAGCGAGGCATCACAGAAGCAAAGCTCCTCGCAATGGATGGTAGGCTATGCACCCAGTTTCTCAAGCAGTTAGTCTATGAACGGTATCTATCCATTCCGTTCCGTGTGTACACTTTTGACATGGAATTTACTGGACTGCCGGTGTTTACGCAAGATGGACCTACAGAAGACATTACAGAGTTAGGTCTGTACTCTCCCTCACGAGATAATATATTTTCATGTTTAGTACGACCCGTATGTGGCCGCAAGCAAAGTCCTGAAGTTGCTGAACTCACACACATCACGGATAAAATGCTAGAGGAAGAGGGACTTCCTTTCCCCGAAGCTTGGTCACGTTTTTTGAACTTTGTTAACACCCCTGAACCAAATGAAAAGGCTGGATCAGAGGAATGCATCCTGCTGCTCTCGCATGGTGGTAAGCTCGCCGATATCTCGTTTATTAAATGGACTTTGGAAAAATTTAAACTTGAGCTTCCATCAAGTTTTGTGTTTGGTGACACTATTCATCTTATTCGTGATGCGCATAGGTGCCGGCCTGTAACGGTGGATAAGCATCCACCTTCGTGGAAGCTGGCTGATCTGGTGCAGTGGTTGAAGATTCCACCCACCTTGCCGGTCCACCGTGCCGGGAATGATGCTAAGATGACCTGGGATGCCCTATACCACACACTTCTTAGATATGGTAATGAGGATCTGAGTCCTCGTGAACAGCTGGTCTCACACTTTTTCGATGAAAAAGCTAAGCAGCGGATGAAATCTATGACAACTGGAGATATATCGGCTGGCGAAGAGGGCGAATGCTTTTCTGAGACGGATATGTCTTCCACAGATCAGAGGCATATCCATAAGGGTACGCATTCCCGTAGTGGTGCTCTGGAATTGGACTTCGATGACATTTTTAAGGACTCTTGTGAGTCGAAGCAGAGCCCTCCTATCACAGAGTTTGTTCTAGAAGATAACGTGGAAACAGATGAGTGTTTGACGTCAGAATCCTTAGAATCTCATTCACTGCAGAGTAGACAAACGCCGCCTCACCTTGCCAGCGAGCTCTCAAGGTCGAAATCCTCCTCGTTAGACATGGAAAGCACCACTTCTCATGTCAGCATCAAGGTATCCAAAAATTCCCCTCACACAAGAAAGAAGAATCGAACAGTAGTGGTTACACATCAAGATACCGGTAGTCAAGAATCTATTCTAGTTTGAGTGAGTTCTGGTGATATCTTGCTTTTTATATTCTCGGTTTCCCATTTTTTTTCTTTACAGAGGGTGCTGAAGTAATTTTGGATGTTGTGGGCCGTATTGAGCGTGTTATTTCCTTTCAACGGAAAGCGAAATTCACTCTAAAAGCACATGCACAGAAATAGCAATCAACTCTAATCGAGGACTAGAATTGCAAAGTGTCTCTGAACATTTATATGTTTATCCTGCTTATATGAGATTAATTTTATTCTTATCATTTGTTTTCACTAGTTTTTAAGTACCAAGAAGCATGGAAACTTAGAAATCATAGAGACTACAAACACTTATGCACATTCTGCATGGTTTCTTTTTATCCTTGTATCAAGTGATGATATAGTTCGTGAAATGTCAATACAAAGGGATTTTACAGTCTTAAGATCCTAGAAATGATCATTGATCCTGAGGGTGGGCGGAGTGCTGCAAGTCTAGGGTGCGTTGTTTAACGACCACCTCACAACTACCCTAGTTTTGTTCGCTATGCAGGGCTTGCAGGCCCGATAGCCAGTTACATTAAAGTGCATCAGTGCAAAAAATATCCCCACTGTTCGCTTCTCCTCTCTATCAAAAACTGGAAAATAAATAAATTTAACGGATCATAAGCCAAGTGTTAGTTTCCTGCATACGTGCTTCGGTTGTGACTCTTGGCTACGTAGAATGGATTTATAGGCGTAGCGTAAAGGTTAGACTAGACACACGCATGACATCTGGAAAGGCGTGCGTGTATTGGGAATTGCATATCTCACAAAACGATATTGAAAGGTTGCTAATCTCAATTGACATGTGATTTCATTTCTTCAGTTGTATTATTTAGTCTTATTATTAAAATATTAAATATAGAATATTCATGTGACTCCACTATTTTTTCCCAATTTGTTACTTAGTTATCCCACACACAAGCTGGGAGAACTCCATAATATAGGAAAAGGTAATGAAAGGAAATGAATGAATCCTAACAAAGAAAAGTCGCTTTTACGTGGAATACGAAACACATGTCCATAGTAGGTAAAGGGGGTTTAATTATTGTCTAATAAATACTTGGATTGTTTATAACATTTTTCATTTTTATCATTTGTTCTTCATAATGTGTTTCTACTTTTCATTACCTGGATATTTTAAATGTTAGGAAATACATCAATTGTCACTTTATTACAACAAAAGGCGACATAGCGAGATAGCTTTGGAACTCATATTTACGTCTTTACAGTTTAGTGCACGGGCATACATATAATTTTCTCAAAAGGAATTCAAATGTCATACCGTGAGCTGCGCATGTTTACCGAAACAATGCGGTTACTGGGATACCCTAATCTTATCAGCATGGAATCGTTTCGTACTCCTAACGTCGAGTTGGTAGCAGACTGCCTTTATTGGCTCCTGAAGCGCTATGAACCTTCTACGGAGGTAGAGTACACGATCGAACGGGAGCGCGACCGCGTACAGTTCTTTAAGCAGGTTTGTGAGGCGGTACTGACAAGGGCTCGTATAAAACTGAACATTAAAAAATTGTATCAGGCGGATGGCCACGCGGTGCAGGAGATGCTCAAACTAACACAGATTTTGAAGGAAGCGATGCGGGCCACCGAGGACGAGGAGCCCGACTTTGCCGCAATCCATCAGATGGCAGCACAGAAAAGTGTGCATGAATTGAAAACGGTTCAAGGGCTCTGCAGTGGCCTCACTGCCGATGCTGGAAGCTTGTTTGACTTCATTGGAGCAGAGATGAAAGCGCGCGGTGAGCGGCAGCGCGTGTTGTCGCGTGCTACCGAAGTAGATGAGTTTGAACGACGCTTGAAGGAGTTGCTCCTCAATGTAGCTCAGCAGGTGGAGCAATTGCAACAGTCCATAGCGAACCTCAACGCGGACGAGAATAACTTAGAGCAAAAGATTGAAAGCAAGAAAACTCAGTTGGAAAGGACCCAGAAACGGTATAAGTCCCTCATGACAGTTCGTCCTGCGTTTATCGAGGAGTACGATAGATATGAAAGTGACCTTCAAGGGCAGTTTGTGAAATATCTAGAGCAGTACCGCAATCTTGAGTATCTTGAGTTTCAGCTTGCCAAATTTAATGCCAAGGAGGATGCGTTGTTGAAGGAGCAGCAGACAGTTTTGAGTGTGATGCGGGAACGGCTGCGTAAGGAAGAGCTTCAGGCGCTGCGCGGGAGTAAGCAAGGGAAAGGCTTTATCCCTCATCTCAATAATGGAAGCAATTCCATAAATGAGGATTTCGATTCAGAACTGAATGTCAGGATTTGTGCGCGAAATGCTGTGGAAGAGGGCAGTAGCATTAGCGATACCGACGAGGATGACTTGACAGATACAAAGGAAAGCAGCGGTGGTGCGGCAGGCGGTCGGTTTCGAATGCAGAATGGCACGGGTTGGAATCAGGCCTCACAATCTATTGAGCTTACGAAGCGACGACAAGGGCCGAGTTTTACCGAAAACGTGAGCGATACAGATGATATGAATGGTGTGGCCGCTACTTCCGGCGTGAATCCGATGCATCGTGAGCATCTATCTGGCGGAAGGCCTCCCGCAGCCCGTACGGAGCACGACATGAGGAAGCCGCTTGGGGAAGAGGATAATAGCTCTATGGTTAGCTCCGATGAGGACTCCGATGATATGTCTACCACCACTTCCACGAGCAATGACGGCGACGATAGCGACGACGAAGATGACTGCGAGGAAGATTCCTCAGCAGAAGAAAGCGATATCTAAGTAACGTCTAGGAGTGAAATGGAGTGTATCTGGATGAGGCATATTTTTGTGTGTTTTTGAAAATCCTTTCCAAAAAATGGATTCAACAATCTTATTGTGTGTCCAAAAAAGAAATTAAGGAGAAAATATAGTTTATCTCCAAGAGTGAGTATGTGTATTCCTTCTTCTGCTCTTGCCGTGCTGTTGAGTTCATCCGTTGAGGTAAAAAAGAGGTAACACGATGTGTTATTTTTTTTTTTGCACTGCCCCCTTGTCCGAGCTCAGGATGGATTGAATTTATTAAGTGAGACTGGAGCCCTGCTCCACCATGCTTCAATGCACTGTGGGGAGGGGTTATATTAGTACGGGGGTCGTCCCTGGGTAGGGGGTAAGCTGCAGGGCCCCTCCCCTTTTCTGCAAAAAGGGGTAACTAGGCAGTGGGAAAATGTGAGGAGATGACTACCAAAGAAGCTTCAGGGGGATGCGGTGTTGTTTTTGTTTTTCATCATTATATTATTATTATTTTTTTTTGTGATCAATGTCAGATAGAAGTTCCCTTGTGAACATTTTTCAAGTGTTATGTGTTACATGTTTCATTTCTTTACTTTTTATTGGATCGAATTACGTATAGACAAGAGCTCCTGATGCGTGCTCTTATTACTCTAATATATCTATTTTCTTCAATTGTTATTTTCCCGTGGCTGGTTGGTCTCTAGGTTTTGTATTTTTATCCCAAAGTATTATCATTATAGTTGCTCGAGCCTAGACTTATAAGAGCAGCATCAGAATATACTTTTATATTAAAACTTAATTATAAAAGAAACACACTTCTATTTCCGTGAGAATGCAGCAGCAGCAACAGCTCCATTCCGATTGTGTGGCTGTCTTTAAGCTCATCATTGTTGGTGATGGTGGGACGGGAAAGACTACTTTCGTGAAGCGTCACCTCACCGGAGAGTTTGAGAAACGCTACGTGGCGACCGTTGGCGTCGACGTACATCCCCTCACCTTCCACACCAACCGCGGTAAGATCTGCTTCAACTGTTGGGATACGGCCGGGCAGGAGAAGTTTGGCGGTCTCCGCGACGGTTACTACATCGAAGGGCAGTGCGCAATTATCATGTTCGATGTTACCAGCCGAAACACCTATAAGAACGTTCCGAATTGGTACCGCGATATTACTCGTGTATGCGATAATATTCCCATCGTGTTGGTAGGAAATAAAGTAGACTGTGCTGATCGCCAGGTGAAGGCGAAAATGATTACATTTCATCGGAAGAAGGGCTTGCAGTATTATGATATCTCCGCAAAATCAAACTACAACTATGAGAAGCCGTTTGTGTGGCTCGCGAAGAAGCTGGCGAATGATCCCAATCTGCAGCTGGTGGAGCTGCCGCCGCTGGATGTGAGCGCGGTGGCTATGTCCCCCGAGCAGATAGCTGAGGTTCAGAGGCAGCAGTTTGAACTGGAGAACGCTCCACTACCGATGGGTGATGACGAATAAGTAGGAATACAAGAGCTTTATTATTCGGTATATTTTTTTCGAAAAAGTAGGACCGGTAAACGTTATTTCACTAAGGAATGATCGTGCTGTAATACTTGCATAGATAGTTTTTTATTACCCCTGTATTACGCCCTCTGAAGATGGACCCTATAAAATATATTTAAGAGCCTTTACGATTTGAATATTTTTAATAAGGTAAGGTTAAGTGGAGAAAAGAGTTGTTTGGTTCAATATAATAACAAAAAGTGGTTCTCTTCGAAAGGGAGTCAACGCGGAGAAGCATCTGATCTTTTTCCCTCTTCTTAAGACAATGCGTCAAAGTCTAGTAACATGAATTCTTTTCTGTTGAAACACTTTTTCCTTTCTGTTCTCCCCCGCCGTGCGGCATGGACAACTCCGCAACTGCTCAGATAAAAGGGAAAGAAAAGCAAAGCTGAGGCTCTTTAGGGCACAAAATCTATTTAACAACGCTCAATGAGGGGAAAGCGAAGATTATAATCGAATTACAGCGAACATATATACGATATGACTTCCCAAGACCGAAATCAGAGGTTATCGGAGCAGAAGCGTTGCGGATGCCCAATTTCTCGCACACACAAGCGTTTTCTTTTAAAAACGTTGTGCTTTACGCAGCAGTACGCATCTATGTATCGTTGCCGCATGGAAGTGCAGTACGTTGAGGCGATTGCGGCCATCCGTGAGGCTGTTAAGGGCGATCCAGGTTTTCATACTAACGAAGGCCTGCAGGATACTTTGAAGACCCCTAAACGGGTGCTGGAGCTTGCCGTCGGCGTTCCGTCGCTCTGCGGCGGGGTGCTCTACAAGCAGATGAAGCAGCTGCCGCGCTTCTTAGACAAGTATCAGCAGGAGCTCGTCCGCATTGATGCCGGGGATGATGATAACGACGCAGAGGACGAGGGGGTGACGGAGCTCCTCGACGCAATGTCGGCGGAGGATGACCATGCCGGCCAAACACAGGCGGCATCAGAGGAGCCCTCCAGCCTGTGCAGCTCAACAGACGAGCTTACCTTGGAGGATAGCAGCGGCCGCGTCGTCTTGCAAGGGCTCTCTCCCGCGCATTTTTGTACTGGCATCACATTAGGTATTTATGGAACTTTGCAGCTTAACGGTACGCTGCAGGTGCACAAATACGCCTTTGCGTCTGTGCGGAAGCTTTATGTCCCACGACGTCTGACTCCGGCGATTAGGCTTCCTCCTTGCTATATAGCGTTTGTGTGTTGTCTAAACATTGACATACCATCTTTCCAAGGAAAGGATGGGGAGACTGTGGATGTGGAGGCCGCCCTTCGCACACGCATGCAGCTTGAGTTGTTGGTCGACTTCATTGAAGGTAATGTGAGCGACCCAGAGGCCTTGGATAAGTCGCGCCACATTTCTCGTATGGTAATTGGCGGAAATAGCATCGTCCCGACAGAGGAATTGAAGTTAAGGTCGAAGATCATGCTGGATCCTTCTGACCAGAGGCGACTCAACGATAAGACGAATACAGGAGTGAAAACGTCAGACATGTTGATGCAGGAACTTGATGGTATTTTAGCTCAACTTGGAAGTAGTGTTGAGGTGGAGTTGATGCCGGGCGATAATGACCCTTCGGATGCTTTTCAACCACAGCAACCTCTCCATCCATTGCTTCTCCCAAATGCCTCCCGATACTCTTCCTTGCGTTTGGTGAGCAACCCCTTCGAGTTTTCTGTGCTTACTTCGCAGCAAACGGCCATTACTGATCAGGGCGAAAAGTATTCTCACACTGAGGCGCAGGATCAAATACAGAGTGGGGATGCCTTAGTCTTTGTAACTTCTGGGCAGAACGTCAACGATGTCGCTCGCCAGACGAGGTTTGATTCTCGCTTGGATGTGATGTCGTTGATGCTAGCCTCCGGCTGCGCCTGCCCCACCGCACCGAATACTCTTTTCAGCTACCCTTTTAAGGATGAGGATCCTTTTTTGTTCAAACAAATTCCGCATTGTTTTGTGGCCTGCGACCAGCCCTCCTTTGAAACACGGTACATGAGCTTGGCGCAGTTGGAGAGTGAGAGTACTTCCCATGGTGGCTCCTCAACACCCGCTGATGGACCATTTTCAGCCAAAGATACTACAGCAGAGGGGTCTGTTGGAAATTTTTTGGGAATTAATGAGGAAGAGGAAGATAGCGAAGGCGTGCGTCTTATTTGCGTGCCTTCTTTCAGTCGAACGGGAACGTTGGTTCTGGTGGATGTGAATTCTCCTAATTTAGAGACTGTCAAAATGGAGTTCTTAGTTGAGTGAGAGGGGGGATACCATGCCATTCTATCGACCTTTTTTTCTAATTAACCATTCGAGTGAGTCGGACATTCTTCTATTGTTTTTTTCAGTTATATATATATGCATAAAGAAAACTTAAGACTTAAATATTTATGTCTTATCTTCTATGCTTTCCTTTCAATGCGATTCTTTATATTCTGTTGATTCAGACATAAGAAGACATATGGGAAAGAGTTTTTGAGTTAATAATACTATTCACCCCAACAGTAGATAAAAGGGGATTTCAGCGTGGACCGCACATTATGAATAATGTCGAATGATATATATATATATATATGCTCTTATGCCCATTTTCCGGCCCAGGTGCGAGCGCTTGGGTTATTTACTTAACGTGTTTGTTGTAAAATAGTTTCTTGCTTTCACCCAAGGGGCACAAAAGGAAAAGGCTCTCAGCGTTGTAATATCATTTCTCTTAGACGCACGATTCTCTGATCTGGGAAAGAAGATAGGGTTACTCGTTTTCATAAGCAATGGAATCGGAGTCGGAATCGCCTTCAAGTATAGTTATCCCGGGGCCAGAGCTGCGCGAGAAGGTGGACAACTTCGCCGCGCGGCTGAGTACATTGGATAAGCGTAAAGCAGATGAGATGATCGCCAAGTTGTTGGCCTCCCAGAAGCGTAACCAGTACCTTTACGTCGACTCTTCTCATATTTTCTATCCTTACTTTCTGAGCAAACTCACAGAGTTTCGCCAGCACCCGGACCGAGTTCCTGAAAAGAAGAAAGCTGCTCCCGCCGGTGAGGCGGGTGTGGGTTCAGGCCAGAATGGCAGCACAAAGGCCGCTCCCACGGCCGCCACCACCACCGTTACGGCGGACGGTATCGTCCGCACGGTTGGGGGCACTCACCTCCCACACGATCCCAAACGCGAGGAGCTGCTGCGGGAGGCAAAGCTTAGAGCGAAGCGTTACCTCGAAGATCCCTTCCCCAATCACTACTCCCTTAACTTTAAAGGTGGGACGTTGGATATTCCCGCCTTGGTGATGGATACCATGTCTTGCACGGCTCAATATGTTGCGAAGTACGGCGAGAACTTTCTCATCGCGGTTCAGTCGAAGCAAAAGCACAACCCCGCGTTTCGCTTTCTAAAGAGCGAGGATGTACGCCACGAGGGGTTTCTTAGTCTTGTCGAATCATACAAGCGTATTTTGAATTTTGGCGAAGACGAGACGGAAACACGTTTGGAGAATATGCAGAAGCGTGATTACGTGCTTCACACTGTGTTGGCCGCGAAGATGGAGTACATTCATGCGGCGGTGGCACGACAGAAAGCCGCGCTTCTGACAAATGAGGAGCTGCAGGCGAGGTTGCAGTGGAACTTCTTCGAGGTGTTGAAGACCTTCACGTTGAGTGATTTGTTACTGGATGGCCCCTTACCCGAACAGCCCGCCACGTCGCGTCTTCAGAGCGGGAAAAAAATGGAGGAGGAGGGGGAGGAGGCGGGGGGCGCCACCGCCACGGATCGCCCTAACGTCCTCCGACCTCCAGGCGAGCCCCACGTCTTCGTTCCGGTGTATATGAGCTCCAAATTGGTGCGCCCTGTCGAGGGGGAAAAAACACGATCGAACGCGGGTGGAGAGGAGGATCCGACGGCACCCCCACCCTCAGCGAGCCGTTCTCGCGACGGGATCGTGGTGGAGGAAAATTACACGGCGCGCGCGATCGCGCCGGTGCGTCGTGGGGTCGAGTACTTCGTGGACGACGAGGGCGGCGAAAGGATCCGGGTTGAGGATTTGCAAAAAAGCAAAGGTGGCGGTGACTCGGGCGCTGTCAAGCGAAGCCGTGAGAGCTATGGTTTGGCGTCAGATGAGGGGATGGCTCGTGAGTTGCAGCGTCGTGCGCGCGAGCGTCAGTGACCATCTCGGCGAAGGATGGTATTAAGTCCTTCTCTCCCCTCCTCTCCCCTCCTCTCCCCGATCTCTTAAAAAAGAGAGTATTATAGCATGAAGGTGTTGTATAAAACTTGTGAGAGTATGCTTGAATAGGACGGGGGAGTCGATATGATGGCAACCGTCTTGAAGAGCTTGCTAAAGGAAGGAGGAAAAAGAATGGTGCCAACTTGTTAGCTGAATTGCCCCCTTTTTTCGCTACCTCTACCGTTACTTCTTACTATCTTTTAAATTTCCTTTGTGCTGCTTTTTGGTATGTTTGCCTCTATTTCTTCGCGCATACACGTGCGTAAAGTTGATTAATAGTTTGTTTTTCTTAAAAAAAAACTTAGCAATTCTATAGTGCAATGGGAAAGTATGCAATCACCGTCATAGGCCCAGCGGGCTCAGGCAAGAGCACACTCTGTGGGGTTCTGGCGGAGCATTACGCCAGCAAAGGCCGTTCGACGCACATCGCCAACGTCGATCCCGCCGCGGAGGAGCTGCCGTATGACCCCTCGATCGACGTGCGGGATTTGATTTCCCTTGAGGATGCGATGGAGGGGAAGGGGCTAGGACCGAATGGCGGGCTCGTCTTCTGCATGGAGTATCTCGTTACGACGGGTTTACCGTGGCTGCGTGATCAGCTCGGCGATTATGCGGAGGATTTTGTGATATTCGACATGCCAGGGCAGGTTGAGGTGTCGTCTACTCACCCCGCCGTGCCCGCGTTCGTGAGTTTTCTTCAGCAAGAGGGGTACCATACCACGGTGCTCTACCTGCTAGACGCCCTGGCAACCACCGTAGATGGTGGTAAATTCATCTCAGGCTGCCTTTTCTCGCTTTCTAGCATGGTGTGCTTTGAGTGCCCTTTTATTAATGTGCTCACTAAGTGCGACTTGCTCGATCAGGCGTTTCAGGACGAAGTGCTCGAGCATTTTTGCATGTGTGATTTGGACCACTTAGATCTCTCACGGCTCCCACCGCAGTGGCGGAAGATGGTGCGGCAAATCAGCTCTATCATCGATGATTACAATTTGGTCACTTTCAAGCCCATGAACATTCAAGAAAATGTCTACATAAGTAACTTTTGCGCGCTGCTAGACGAGACGCTACAAGTGGTCGACGAGGCGGAGGTGAAAGACTTTGACATGTATGCGGAGGAGACGGGAGAATGAGGTGGTGTGGGGAGCCACGGATGGCTGGAAAAGAGAGAGGGTGATAGGGTGAAAGAGTTCTGTAGTGTGTGGCTCGTTCTCATTGCGAGTATTTTTGGCTTGCCTTCAAAGATGCATGACAGTTCTTGGGTTCCTTTTTTTTGCTAATTAACATTGAGCCTCTGTGCGACTTTGCGGTCGATCGTTAGCTTCAGGATCCATAAATGAGTCCTTTGGCTTTTCCCTCATGCGTTTTTTTGGGAAGGGAGAAAGGTGAAGAAGGATAGGGAGGGAAATATGCATAAAAAAGTGTAAAATTAAAAAGGTGGTTCTCGTATTAAATAGGTGGACCGGTTCAACAGTGCTTTTAATCTCTCTCACTCATACGCCGTTTTCTCGAGCTGTATTCCTACATTCCTAGTCTTTAGCATCCCTTCAATGTATCGATGTTCACGGTGCTTGGGAGGCCTTTATCACCTTAGTGATCTCCTCCGTAGCCGGGTTCGTGATCTCCGTATAGAGCTTTCGCAGAAAAAGGCCGCGGGCGCGTCGCCTTTGCGGGTGCTCGACCTCGAAAACCAGCTTGTCATCGAGCTCGGCCGTAGTGCTCGGCCGGAGGAGCGCACGGAGGCGTTGCGGAGCGCGGAGGAGGTGTGGCGGCGGCTGGAGGATCCCCGCACCCCCCTCGCGGCGCCCTCACGCACGGCGATGCGGGTGATGCTCTGCACGACAATGCGGCGTTGCGCGTTGCTGGCAAAGCATCGCGAGGCGGCGGAGGTGTGGACGGCCCGTTTTGCACAACGCGCGGCGCGTCTTCAGCCGCAGGATTTCATCCAAGACGGGGAGGAGATGCGGGGGTGGGAAAAAACGCCGACGCCGACGACGGCGAAGTCGACTTCCCCGCTTTCCCCTTCCTCTTCACAGCTGCGTGCCCAGTTCGGCACCAGCCTTACGGAGGAGGATATCGACGAAAGCGCGCAAAGGGGGGATGTAGGGGCCTCTCCAAACGAGGAGGGAGAGAATGATGCGCATCCGAAGCGACGGGAGCTTTCTCCGATGCAGAAATACCGACAAGATTTGGTCCTGAGCCATCCGATGATTGGGATTGTCTTCAAAGGTCGCCAAGGGCCCGGACCACGCTACACCGGGTGAGCTCATTATAGGCGAGGGGAGGGCATCGACCCATGAGGGGAACCCCCAAATGAAAAGGACGGATGTGAATCATGTGCTTATAGTCTCTAGCATTTGGTTTTGATGCAGGGCCGTTAGGTGGGCCGTTATTATTATTATTATTATTCTTATTGTCATTAGTATTTCTATTTACTTTGTCAATTTACTGAAATTTACGGGATGTCGTTGCTCTGTCAGAGTCTGGTTTTGCATTTTTTTTTTCTTGGCTCGCGCATGGTGTGCGATGCGACTTTAATATTTGATGTTTATTTATTTTCCTTTATTGTGTTCGATTTTTTTTTTTAAATATAAAGTATATTTCCTCAACTAGTCACTTCCACCAATACAATTTAAAGGAGAGAACCCCATATCCCAAGCGTGGTCATTGTGCAACTTTTTGAGTGTTGCTTCAGTTTCTTGTTAGTAATATATTTCTTTTCTGAGGTGCGATAGGGGATCAAATGAGTGCGACAGCGTCATCCATCGACCCAGATAGTCTGACTGTCAAGGGCTACTTCAACCGCTTAAGTGATGAATACGTTGCCGGGGTTCTTAATGGCAGCTACGAGGGCGCCAACACAGCCCACCAAAGATTTATCTGCAATCTCATTGTTCAATTTGAGGAATTGTGGAGACGGATAGGGACGGTCGGCGCCTTTTCCGTGAACGATGATTTGGATGACTACACCACCACTGCGTTGGATTTTTTATGGGTGCCGTACATCCTGGCTGATCTTTATCAGCGTTTTCAGGAGTCCCCAGGCGGGCCCTCCGGATCGAGCGGCATGGGCCCGCCTTTGCCATCATCGATCTCCACAGCAACTCCACAGGCGGGATCGGCGGGCATGAAAGGTGAACCCAATCAACCTCAACCCACGGTGAGTTACGATAGTCACGCTCACCACGAGGACGGAAGCCCTGTTACGGACGATTACGCAGGGGAAAAGACGACACATGCGGTTCTCATCGAGATCAACGAGGCCAATCTTCGCGCGCTCTCCCGACAAGAGGCCCTCACGCGCTCTCACGCATGGTTTCAAGTTTTTTTTGAATGGCTTCAGAACACTGGCCTGATGGAGGCGCGTGAGATTGAGACGTTTTCGAAGTATCTCCCTGATCAGCGCTCGTTGCGCATCCAGCTCTCTCGCCTGTGCAGCGAACTCCGCCAAAAGCTAAAGGAGTCGGAGGCGAAGGTGCAGTATCAACGCGTGAAGCGCCGTCGGATGCGGGAGTTGATGGCGGAGAACGGCGAGGCCGTCGAGGAGGGGGGCGGGGAGGAGGAGGAGCTGCTGCGGGAGCGCGCGCTCGCGCGGTTACGCTGGTCGGGTTACGACGCCTGCCATCAACTCCAACTTTCCGCGCGGGAGTTGGCGATGTTGGAGGCCGTCGGCGTCGAGCAGCGCGCGGGGATCTCCGCGGCCTACCAGCGGACGTTGGAGGCCGTCCGGCGAGGGGAGCTTTCCCTCGGCCGCCACACCTACACGATCCTCCCGGGCGGGATGATGATGGCGGGAAGCCTGCAAAACCCACAGCCGTTGGATCCCACCCTCCTCCCGCGAGGGGGTGGGCCCACAGGGGGGGTGCTCAACAGCCAGGCGCAGAACGCGCGATCAAGCGCGCAGCTCTTCCGTCAGCAGGTCCGGGATGAGCTGATGGTGGATCGCAACCCGACGACGATGACGCTCGAGGAGTTCGCGGAGAAGGAGATGGCGGAGGTGCAGCGGCAGATGGCGGAGGCGCTCGAGATGCAGGCGGAGGCCGAGGCGGAGAACGAACGCCTCGGACCCGAGGGCGTCGAGGAGCGGCAGCGAAAGAAAGACAGCGCCTGGCAGGACTGGAAGGATGACCACCCGGCGTATGGAATCACTAAGAAAGGCAACTATGCATAGATACCCGATTCGCGGATCGGAGAAGGGTATATTTAAACAAGTGGCTTGAACAATAGAAGCGGTATATGATTAATTTAGACGGAATCGTTCCGTTCTCGTGGTTTATGGTTAATATTTTATTTCTCATTTATTATGCCCCCGTGAAGTTAGCAGCTTGCTTTCGGAAATGCTTTCTTATATCATTACTGCTCTTTTTAAAATATGAGATATTTTTCCAACACTAATCGTTCTTGGAATGTAATTCCGTCCTTTCCGTTTAATTGCTAACGGGAGAGGGGAGGCAAACGGCCATTAGAAACACTTCTTTCCACATTTTTGTAACCACGAGTTCATATCATGTTCCACAAACAAATTACATCCCGATGTGAACTTCAACTGTAACCTTCATTTTTTCTGTGTTTCATCTCCCTCCCTCGGTGCATGTCTTTTTCGACCACTACCAAAGGGCACCGCACGGTGCTTTAAGGGCAGAGTTTTATGGTAATTCGCTTTGTACATAGTTAAGGTGCATCTATTTCTATTTGTTACATACGAGAAACGTAATATATTTATATAATATAAATATAAGCATAGAACGAAGGGGAGACATCTTACATATAGAGCGAAGAGTATAAATAAACAGATCAGGTACTATTATTATTTATTCAGGGTTATAAATAAGAATTCCAATCGTCGCGCGTCGAGGAACTAATAGATTCTCTTAGTATTAAGTTCTTCCACAGCGGTGTGATCGATCCTCTTATATGAGTTTTGCGGGCACTTGTATGCCCCTTGCCGACGTGATCGTACTTCCACACCCCACCCAATCGACTTCCCTTTTTCGATGCGGCGGAGTCTCCTCCCGCGCGCGCTCCCTTTTCAGAATCGGCGGGCGCTAAAACAGGGGGCTTACCGCCCTTCTTGGCTCTCCCCAGGCCTCACTTCGCATCAGATGCTCGACGCGGGCGTCGCCGCACGGCAGAGCGCGAGCCGGAAAAATATCCGAAAAGCGCGGCGCCCCTTTGAGAATTACTTCCGCACGACCTTTCGTTGCTCCCTCCCCACCTCGTCTGTGGTGGGGAGGCGTGGGGTGCTCTCCGCGTACGCCGCGACGCGGCTGATGAGCGATCCGCACGCGACGTGGTCGCCGCCATGGGGGCGGTCGAGCAGCCGCGGTTTCGTTCGCACTCGTCGGAAACGAACCGACGCCCTCGAACGCCCGGCGGATGTTTTTGGCGAGGACGAACTCGATGGTGTTCTTTCGCGGCTGTTGAAGTTGCGTTTTTCGTGGGATCGGGAGGATGGGATCCTCGCGACGGCTCTCTTGCCGCGCGGGATGTTTCGTTTTTGCGAACACGCGTTGCCCTACGCGGCGGTAGGAAATCCCACGCGGGGGAAAAGAACGCAGGTGGCGTTGGATGTCGATTCTGAGTCGGACCCTTCGGAGGAAATCCTCACGATCGATGGGGCGTCGGTGATTCTACGCAACCCGATGGGGTCGGGCGCCCCACCCAACCCGGGATGGCTTCGCCAGAACGATTGCCATACGGGGGTAGCTCCTAAAACGAAATGGAGCCTTACCGGGGTGAACGCGATCCCGACTTTTGTAGCGGATATCGTGCGAGGGCCCTTTCTCTCAAGCCCACACTATGCCGAGCTAACGTTGCGATGGAAGGCGGAGAATCGCCATGCCGAGAGCGTCTCGGAGGTTCTCCAACTATATCAGCGAATCGGCGCGGCGTCGGTCGTCGGTCTTCCACCGCGCTCCGCTCTTTTATTGCTCTTTTCGTTAGCCACGGTGGAGATCGAAACGCCGGCGTTGGAAGTCTCACTCGGGATCGCGATGGGTGAGAACTATCACGGTTATGAGAAGACCGAATGCCTCGAGATCCTGCGTTGTCTGCGGCGCTTGGCTTTCGTGCGCAACCTCCCAACCATCGCCCCTCTTACCTCTTCGCCGCCGCCATCCTCCTTCCCGGTGGATGGGCTTGATGGAGTTCCCTCCCTGTACGAGGATGCCTCCCTTACGGAGGGTTTTTTAGGTAGGTTCATCGCCGATGTGGCGCCGTTCTTCGCTGTGAAGGTCTGGGCGCGGCTTCCCGAGCACAGTGAGCGGCTGCTCCGACGTCATCTTTATCTTGACTGGATCGATCTGCTGTATCTCGCGCTCGGGGTGAACGGGAATCGACTGCCGAGTAGGCTGCCGAACCCGGTTAGCGCCGCGGCGTACGCCTCGAAGTACCTTTTCCTTCGCTACACGCTGCACATCGATGAGATCGTGATGGCGAACCTGGTGGCGGGGATGCGCGGTGGAGCTCCTTCCCATTCGTGTTTGCCGTCAAACCCGACGCGCAAGGCGGATGTCGATTCGGAAAGTGAGAAGGAACCGCATCCTAACATAGCCAGAGAGGCCGGTTCCCCTCCTCACGCCAATGGAATCGGTCCTGGCGGCAATCAAGAAGAGGCTCCGTTTATGGGGCAGGACGAGGATCCGGAAAGGAACCTAATCCTATGGATGAGTACCTCTTTTTTGGTCCGCCTGATTAGCGAGGCTCTCGGGGATGTTCTGAAACACGTGGGGACCTATCTCCAGCAGTGTGCGCAGCTTCTAAGCCATGGAGGCCTCGGCGAGCCCGTCATCCCCGGCGGCGGTGAGGGTTTGTTGCCGTCGAAAACGCCCCTGCATGGGGGCGGCGTCGAGTCCATTTCCCCCATGCCTGCTCCCCAACCTTCAGGCGCCCGACTTCGCATCCACGACGATCACCTCGAGGCTTATTTGGATCGCCTGAAGTTATACCGCCCACGGGTTGCGGGCGAGGCGACCCACCTCCTAGGCAGGCGACATCCCAAAAAGGTTCGGGTGCGTTTGTTGCCGTATGAATCCTTCCCCGACCTCGCGCGGGGTCTGCCGCTGCCATTTCAAAAAGTGATGCGGCAGGCCGGGCTCGCCGGGCGATCGACCCCCCCTCCTCCTCCTTCTCCCCCTTCCCCCTCCCTTTCTCAAGGGGTTCCCATCCCCAATGGGAGGAAGGACGCCCGGAAGACGCCCTCGACCGTGGCTTCGCATATCGCGCAGTCGGGCTTGGCCTCAAGCCAGGTAGGGCGGGCCGCGGATGCGCTTGGGTGGGCGACGATGGTGCTGCATCACTGCCTTGGCATGGTGCAGGGCCTGCCCCCGTTAGATCTTCGCCCGCCCACGTCGGATGCGATCGTGGAGCGGCGGCGGGCGTACTGTAGGCGGTTTGCCCAGAGTAAGATTCAGCTCCTGATGGATGAGCTGTTCTTTTATATTCCGTGGGAGGAAATAGAAACACACATAGAGCCGCTGCTGGCGTCCGAGCAGGAAGGTCGCACTGCGGATCCCAACATAGATCAAGAACCATCTTTTCTAACTGCATTTTCTGACGAGTGCGGCGAGGATGATTCTCAGAAGGACTCCCCAAACGAGACTGATGAGCAACGGGGTCAAATTTTGTTGCGTAATTTGCAAATGCGTGTGGACGAGTTTCAGCTCTCAGTTGCGGACCTTCTCGAGGCCTATGAAGGGTTCTTTGGCCAAGAGGAAGGAAATGCCGAGGATACTAACGATGGTATTAACATGCAGTCTGAGGGAGAAGGTCTGGTTCATCTCGACACGCAAATGAACCCGTAGAGATAGATGTAATGATGCACTTTATATTCGCTTATTCGTTTTTTCTCTCGGTTTGCGACACAGGATCGGTGTGGAATAGATACATCATTGAAGATTTTTTATTTAGTAGATGAATTTAGTTGCTGGTGTAGTCTGTGATTGATTTATCTATTGTATGATTAACAATCAAAATCAATAGCAGATACTATCACTGCATATAGTTGTTATTATTGTTATCCTAAAAGGCGCTTACTTTCCATAAAGACATTATGTCCTATTGTTCGACTTTATGTGCCGATAAGGCCATTCGTGTTTTTATTATTATGATGGTGGTCTTCCTGTGAAGTGACATATTCGTCCTCAATTTACGTTTGACATCTCTTTGCTACATTTAAGGTAAGAGCAACACCGATAACAAGGCTCCGTTAGTCTGTATCGATTTCATTTTAGATAGTGAAATGAGTAATGAATGTTCCTTCGTTTTGACGACCGGACCCGTGCATTCTTGGGTAACGGATGCGTTGACGTACTTCGCCGATGATGTCCAGGAGCTGCAGATGCTTCAATCAGAGCGGCAAGAGATGGATGCGACCGCCTTGCAGGCGGCGACGAGGGAGGCATCGAGCGAAGTTGAGAGCATTGTAGCACGGCAGCGGCAGACCTCACCCTCGTCTGGCCATACCCCTACGCGAAAATCGACCAAAACACGTCAAAACATAACGAGAGGTAATTCCACGCTATCGCAGACCAAGCCCGATTCGAGGTCTAATCTAGAGTGCAAGCGCTTGGTAGCGGAACGGGTGCGTGCTTTCGAAGCATCACGAGCTTCGCAGCCGTTCCGGAGACAGTTAGCACAGTACCAATCCCTCTTGCAAGAAACTCAACGCAAGTTCGGACCTATTCGTGCTAAGGAGGAGAGTGAGTACAATTTTTTCGTTTCAAGACCTGAGGAATTCTATACCATGGATGATGTGGTGGCCACCAACGAGCGCGCCGCTGCTGCCAACGCATCCAGTGAGCATACTGATTTCATTGATCCCAGTGAGGATGCGGTAGACTCAAACACGACAGGTACGGTTTCAGTTTCCCCCCTCGGCACTGTGAACTTATGCCCTTGGATTGACTCAGATTCGGTTGTCATTGATGCTGGGCGGTTTGCGCAGGAATACAACGAAACTTTGACTCGCGAATATGGCTATAAACCCATTTTGGGTGGGAGAAGGGCTTTTTCCACACCTGTAGAAGATGATTTTAAGACGAAAAAGGATCGGGAACAGGCCAAAACCGATTCCCAACGTGCACTCTTAAGCACTCATCGCCCAGGCATTTATGATCCCCTTCCTGATATATTTCCACCCCAATCGTCTTGGCAATCCACCTCAGGGCCGCAACACCATGGTGCTGTCAAGGCTATTGAACAGGCTTCCACCGCTGCAGATCGCATGACCTTTGCCGGATCGAATACAGCGAGCCATTCCGAGGATGCAGGGCGTCGAGTCGGTCACACAGCTGTGGTTTCATCGGATCCTCGAAAGATATATTCCGCGACAGCAATGGATGTTTCACTTTCTCTTCCATCTCTTTTACATCGTGATGATACCGGGAATGGCGCATCCAAGCGTCAAGAGGTGTACACGCTGGGAACTACATCAGACGGTTCCGCTAAAGGAACAAAGAGTACGGCTCCCAAGTCACAATCCAAGTCCGGCAAGACACGATCTAACACGCAAATCAACAACGGAGTAAGTGTAAAGGAAAGGAGAGGCGACCTGCCAATGGGAATTGAGTGCTCTGCAACGAATCGAGAAGTTACCTTGCAGACTGTCACGGGCCAACCGACGAGCATCGTTATCCGTTTTACTAACCGCAATAAGCAGCGCATGCGGTTCCGTGTGAAGCCGTCCACACACGCGTGGTTGCACTATGCCTGCGTCCATGTTGCACCCGTAGCGGGAGGAAGTAACAATACGAGGCATGGTGCTTCTGTGAAGGAGTCCTACTCAGGCTCTAACGGCTGCCCTGAGAGCCTCGCTGATGGGATTTTTCTCGGTTGTGGGGGCTATATCGAGGTGAAAGTCGTGTTTACGCCCATGGATACTTTTACACCCAAGCTGGAAACCACTCTCTCTATCGGTATCACTCGCGAACTCAACTCGCTTTCCATGGAGGGCGCACAGTGGAAGTTTTTCGAAGTTGCTGTGAACTGTGAAACGCTCCTTCCGGTTTTTCAACTATTTCACTTGCCGCACCAGCCCGAGGAAGATGGGCTTCTCGTTCGTTCTCAGAATCCCAAGCAGGTAACCATCGCTGAGCTTAGTGAGTCGGATCGTTTATGCTGTACGGGTCGTAACAAGAGGACGGAAACCGATTTGCCCGGAGAAATTCCCTTTACCGCGGGATCACCGCCCTGGCAAAAGGCGAACAACCTGAACGGACCTCTCCCGGAGGCTATCACCAACGACACCAGCTCCTTGGTAGCGCGCTTGCTTCCATCCCTTGCCACGCCCGTGTCGCTGGAGGAGTGTGTTTTCCCCCCAACCTTTGTACTGAGCAGCTTCACGCAGCGTTATTTTCTCGTGAACGTTGGATCCAGCGCGGTGGTGAACCTCACGTGCAGTTCCGAGGCCTACACAATTCATCCTTCTGGGCCCTTCGCGCTAGGGCACGCCGGGGGGATCGAAATTTCCATCACGTTCCGGCCGATGGAGTGGAGGGATCCTTTCGACGAACGGCTTGTGGTAGCCATTCGGAATGCTCCCGCGTGCGATCCTAAATCCAGAGGGGCGGGTCTGATCCTCGACGACGGCCGCGGCGCAGTGCTCGCTCAACAATACTTCTCCTTGCATGGAACCTCCGTCGTGCCGCGGGTGGCCCTCCAACAGATCGGCGACATGGCTTTACCACCAAACGCACCTACGATTTCTTCCGTTGAAATGACGGGGCTGGAGGATTCTGATGGCGAGACCGCCCCACGCTATTTTATCCCCGACACTTGCCCAGAGGTGTGCTCGACACTCTCGGTTTGTGTGCACAACAGCTGCGCGCTGCCGTTGCCTTACCGCTGGGTATTGGAGGTGTGTGGTGGGATTGAGGGCACGGCGGAGGGGCCTAGCGACGCCGAAGGGATCTCGAACCCCGACGCCGTTCGTTCGATCGCCACGATTCAGCCCTCGCGTGGTACCATGGCGGCGATGGAGGAGAGCGTGTTCACGGTCTCGGTGAGCCCATCCGTCGCGGGCAAGCTGACCATATCATGTAGCCTTTTTCTTGAGGGTCTTCCCGACCCTGAACAAATCCCGGAGGCCGAGCTCGCACAGGTTCCTTCCTGGATTGTCGCGCTTTACAATCGACACGGGCAGATCCCTCCTGCGTCATCCGCGTCTGAGTCTGGGCGGCTCCCAGGGGAGGCGGAGGGCCCCGTGGACGGGGCTTTCGCAGCCGCCGACATGGGCTGCGCGTTAACGGACCCCTTCGCGCTCTTCCAGGCCCGCACATTATCGAAGCCTGGTCACCTGCGGGATCTTGTCTTTTCAACCGGCTTCTACCTCTTTGCCTTTCCTACAGATCCGTCTCTGAGGATGATATCGGGCGTCCTGGACGCGACTATCGAGTTGCTGACCGGGCTCGAGGTCAGCCGGTGTGTGACGTTGCAGAACCCCTCCCCACGTGCCCTGCACTTTTTATGGAACACCCCTGAGATCCCCCACAAGGACTCTCAGGTTGAGACTGTGAGGATGTCGATCAGTGGTATGTTTGAAGAACCCTTGCAACGGGCGAAGGACCCGATATCAACTTGGTGTCAGCCTCGTGAAGGCTGTATCCCCGCCCATGGTCAGCAAGATATCGCGGTAAGCTTTATCGCTCATATGCCTGGAATGCACAGCAAGACGCTGGAGTGCAGCGTTCCAGAGCTTCACTCTCGCTATGAATTGGTCCTTAAGGTCAGGGGTGTGGGCCCCACGGTGCATACAAGCACGCAGTTCTTAGAATTCGGTATTATTAAAGTAGGCACCAAACACGCCTCCACTTTCACCGTGTCGAATACCAATCCGGTGCCGGTATTGTGCAGTTTTCAGGATCCCATACCATGTGATCCATCGCGTTTTATGTTTCCCAAAGCACCGATTCATATTGCCGCAAATGACTCCGCTAAAGTAACGGTGTACCGCAACGCCGTTGCTTTTGACATCCCTGAAGCTTTCTTTGAAGTGGTGGTTCACGGCGGCGCGTCCATCGCGATCGAGACTCACGCGATAGTGCAAAATCCCCAGATTGTCTTGGATGATCCTGTGGTGGATTTCGGCTTCGACGTGCCAGAAGGGGTCTGGCAGGAGCGGGCCCTTTATCTGTCAAACAATAGCAACTTCGACATCTCCTTTGCCATGAAGGCAGCGTCGACGCAGTCTCCGTGGGTGCGGCTGGAGCACGCATCTAGTCTTGTGTTGCGTGCTGGGGAAGCACACATGGAAGTCCCGATACGCGCCTGTTTTTTGCACAACCCGCAAGAAAAGGAGAGTTCAGATGGGTATTGCGTGGATCTAGAGATTCACTCTCAGCAGACGCAACAGGTGCTTCTTGTGAAGGTATGTGCCACTACAATCGAGCAACTCTCTGTCTCTGTTGACGTTGTAACTGCCGCGAAGGCGCAAGGGGAGTTATGCAATGGTGTCAATGAGCCATCCAACGTCTCCTCGTTCGGGATGCCTATTGAGAAGTACGTGAGCGTGCTTTTACTAAACGCTTTAGAGATGGTTTTAGATACTGAGCATTTACCGAAGGTGGAGTGTCCGTGCGTTCAAGTCGTTGGTAGGACTACTCTCGATCGTGGTGCGGGTGCGCATCTTCAGTGTCCCACCGATTATCCAAGCGTGGAGCGCGGGGTTGTGGTTCGTCCGTTCTGCGAGGATGTACAGTTGCGCACCGAACTACCCCATCACTCCCCCGTGTGTAGCGAGACGTTAATGGTTCAGTTTCGAAATTACTCCAAATGTACGACCCGCGGGGTGTTGTGGGTGGGTGAAAGTTATTCTATTTTGAGTGGCTTTGACCGAACCAAGCGCACTCGGGCGATCAACTCCGCCGCCACCGAGAACCCGTTGGGCGAGAATGACAACTTCATCGAGGTGGCCTCAAGCACGGCGCAGGGTTTCAAGGGCAGCCCCAAGTCTCACGGCACACGTACCTCGTGCTCGCGGTCTTTGAGGTTGATGAACAAGCGGGCGTCTATTCCCGCCCACCCCGCCGAGCGCGTTTCCATCACCGCGAACGAATGGCTGCAAGCCACGCAGCTGGGCTTCTGGACGACCGAGAGAAATGGGGTTGCGGCGCGGCGGCGGGCCGAGCAGGCCGCCTTAGCCGGCGCCCAGCACCTCCTACTCGACGGGAATGGCTGCCGCATGGCGCTACCCCCTTCGACGGCGGTTGGGATCCCAATCGGGCCCCTCGAATCCATCGCGTTGCCGGTATCCCTCCACGCCAACCTCCCTGGGCGGTATACGAAGACGCTATTGGTGGAGTGTGAGGGGCTCCCACGGACGGCGATTGGCCTCGACTGGGAGGTCGTCGGCCACCCTTTGCTGCTCGACCCCACCACCGCGGGCCTCACGAAGGATGAGAATGGCCACGAGGTCCTCCTCATGACGCCCGTGGTGGCCTCGTTAGGGAGCTCCCATCGGGTGTTGCGGGTGATCAATCGACTGCCGCGTGAGGTCTGCACGAGTGTGGAGGTCCACCTCAGCACCTCCAGCTTCTCCGTCGTCGCGGTCGAGGAGGAGGTGGAGGCGTCGCGGGTGGTGTTGCGGTTGGGGACCGTTCCCGAAGCGGTCCGCCAGAGCGGGGCGGCGCGTTATGGCGCGGCAAGGGTGACGCCCTCGGTCTTTCTCATGCCCGCCCTCTCCACGCGGGAGATCCACGTCGAGTACACGCCCAGCGCGAAGCTCGTGGAGCCCCTGATGCCGCGCGCCTCCCTCGACAAGGACGGATCTCGGAGCTTTGACGATCCCCAACGCGGCTGCCGATCTCCTGCTCGACGGGAGAGGGGCCGTCGACGGACGGGTAGCCATGACGACTTCGCCGACGACGATGGGGACCGATTTTCGTTAATGCGGTCCTCGCAAGAGGTGGATTGGAATGGATGCCTCGTCATCAATTGCAAGCTGGCGGAAAGCCCTTTCAACGACATGTTCCTCATCGACGAGTTCTACGAGCAAAACCAAGCGATCTACCCCAGCAAACGGGTGCTCCGGCGCTACAGCGCCACCGCCGAAAAGGAAGAGAGTGGGGCATCGCGGACGAACCCCAAGCTGCTCAGGCGTACCTTACAGAAGAAAGACCTCGACCTGGAGGAGACGACGACCGTACTCCCAACCTCCTTGCGGTTGGTACCCATCCTGCAGTTGTTTCAGCCGTTGCGCACCCGTCCTGGGAAGGTGGTGCGTAGTGGCAAATTAGTCGAGCCCTCGACCAAGGAAAAGCACCTCCTGGAAGGCTGTCGCCACATCCACCACGAGTCTTTATCACGACAGTCATTCTCTTTGAACTCTTCGTGCGTTCATTCCGCATTGTCCGAGAATCCCATCGGGGAGGATGTCAGCGAGAGCAATAATGCGAACAGCGATGAGGATTCCGAGGTGGATGACTGGCCTGGGAGTTCGGAAAACGCCCGCCTTCTCGAGGCAACGGGATCGTATTCGACGCGCTCCCTTCCCGTTCTTGCCGAGGATCGGGAGCGGAGGGAGCTACTCGCGTACCTCAAATGTCGTCGTTCGCAGTTGACGGAGGAAAGTGTGCGGTACTTCAAGCCGATTGAGCTGCGGCTGCGGGCGCGCTGCGGGGTTCCGCGGTTGATTCTCGATCCCCCCGTCGCACAGGTCGAGTTTCAGCCCTACCACAACGACGGCAAACCCATCCTGCGAACGGTGCGCGTGGTGAACCCCAACACCGCCGCGTTGCGATTCTCCTTCCAGCTTTTTACGCGAAGAGGATCGCGCGAAGCGGGCGTCGTGGGCGCGACATCGGAGGAGGTGAGCGAGAGCTGTGGGAGCTTCACGGTGGTCGCCGCCGCGAGGCTTCGTGGCGAGGAGGAGGCGGCGGCGGCGACATCACCGGTGGCGGCCACGGTCGGTCGGAATCAAGCGGGGAATCCTCCCCTTCGAGCAACGCACGTGGCGAAGGCAAAGGCGATGGCAAAGGCCGCCACCTCGACGATCGGCCCTTCGATCCCATCGTCAACGTTGTCAAGAAAAGGCAGGGAACCGAACGGGCGGCGAGCGCATGCGGCGGGGGCTATCGTTCCTGCGGGTAATCCTGCGCTTACTCCCGCTATCCATGCCAGCGCCCCAGCGAAGATCATTCACGAGCTGCGCAGCTTTGAGTCGTTGGATGTGACGGTGGCGTATTTGCCGCCGGCGAGGCCGTTTTCGCTTTCTCCGACCACGGCTCTTCGGGATGTGTGGGGCTGCGTGCGGGTGGAGTTCATCCCATCCGAGGCGGCGGATAATACCTCGGGAGGAGGAACTTCGTCCTCATCCCAAAATAGTAGTGGATGGGTGGGTTCGTCTGTGCTTGAGCGGGCGCCCGTGCAGGAAATTCTGCTCCACGTGCCGCTCGTGGTGCCTAAATTATCGTGTGATCTCTCGTTGCTTTGTTTCCGCCCAGGGAATATCATCCTCGACGGCCGCGAGCAGCCAAGCTACAGCCAGTGTTTTACCTTGTACAACCACGCTAGTATGGCGGTGGAATACGAGATCGCCTTGGTAGATACTGAGTCTTCCAACGCCATCGCGTTTAGCAGCAGGAAAGGGTATCATGCGAGTGATTGGGATGGAAACCGTGCGATGACGAGCTCGGATAGGGGGCTTACCAACTCCTCCGATGCGATCTCGCGCGCGTCTCGTGTTGGTGAAAAGATCGACGCCCTCTTTAACATGCCTCCCAGCCCGATGCCGTTATCTGCGGGCGCTGGATTCGGCAGCGCGACTTCGGCTTCGCCTGTTACTATAGCAGATGTGGATAATACGACCGTTCCGAGATATCTCGCGTCGGGGAGTGCGTCTGTGGTGCGTGGAAAGGAGGCGGCGGAGCATTTTGTGTTAGCCCCTCGTAAAGGTTGGGTTCCCGCGGCTACTGCTGGTGGGCAGCCGGGCGCGTCTGTCATCGAGGTCGTCTTCAACGCGTATTCCAATGTTGTCTATGAATGCACCTATACGGTAATCGCGAATCAAGAGCCTTCGGAGCTTTTCATTAAGCTAATGGGTATTAGTCGTGATACCGAATTGTAGCGGCGCTTCACTGAATTTGTTGTTTATTCCGTACGAAGGAAGTTTAGCTGTGCTCTGCGAGTGGAGACCGCTCTTGCGTTTTTTTTCTCTTTTTCCAATGTATTTCTATTATTCTCACAAATGTATTGATATCTTATACAGTGTATTCTCGATTCCTCTTTCGTCGGTTCAATAGAGATGAATAAGGGGATGAAATAAAGCTAGGGTCCAAAGCTGTGACACTACCCTGTGAATGAGAGTGTGGTTGTGGTGTCGCATTAATGTACTACACTTGCATTTGACTTTATTGTGAGGCTTGTACTATTAATATACAAAAAATCCAAGCTGAGAGAATTCTTCCTCTGATAAGCAAAGGTGGATGAAGACAGCTGTTGCATCTCTGGAAGAAAAGGATCCCATTTATTTTTTGTTTTTGTTTGAAAAGAACATAGCTCTTGGATTTTGTTTTTCATTACCAAGTGCTTTTCTTACCCATTCTATCACTCTCTTACTTCGAGGCACTGACTCTCAGAATTTAGTGGATACAAAGAAGTTTCATTATTTGCTTTGACATATATTTGAGTGCAAAAGTGGAACTCGGAAAAAAAGCAGGGGTCTAGGGAGCTTTTTTTTTTTTAGGCCTATTGACGTTAAGCTTTAGTTTTTACACGTAAATTTCTTCTTCTAAAGGTCTAGTTCTCTTTTCCGCAGGGTGATGTCGAATCCAAAGAATTATGCTCAGGGTGGTTACGCAGGCTACGGCTCCTATGGCGCGTCCAATCCTACGAATGCAGGAGGGGAGACGAATCCCGCATGGGCGGGATCTTACGGGGTAGCCGGCGGCTATGCTTCATACGCGAATACGGCTAGCTATCCCTTAGCCAATCTGCAACAACCTCCCGCGCCCGCGGGCAACGCGATTCCGACGGGGTTATACAACCCGCCCTCCAGCATGACCGCCGCGCCGTTGTACAGCCAACCCCCCCAGCCCACCCCCCCAACCGCGACTAGTGGCTATCCTAATTACTTCTCCAACGGACTTGGGGGGTATCCTCCTCAGGATAGCGCGTCGAAACCCCCGCAAGCGCCTCATCCGCAGGCTAGCATCCCGGGCGTGGCGTCCGCTTCTCACGCTCCTGTGGGAGGCGAAGGGGGGGCGTCGTATGCGGCCTCCAACCAGAGTTTTCACATGATCCCCACCTCGCCGATGGGGGGGTATTCAAACACGAGCGCGAGCGCCCACAACCCACAGGTGGTCTCCTCTCCGGATAATTCCTACCTGAGGCGAACCTCCTACTCCCCGAGCCCGACGTCGGAGACGAACTCTCTGCAAAAAACTAAGATGATGAATCCCGGAAAGTTCACCCACCCGCGCGTCGTTCCGAATCGTTCGGTGGATATCAGCAGTGCGCCGAATCCTTCCCGTGATATCGTCTACCCCACCGTTCCCCAGGAGAGCTACACGAGCGCCTCCATTCAGCCCTTCTCGACCGCGGACTTTGTCGGCATCGACGATGGCAACGCCAACCCGAAGTTCGTCCGCCTCACGCAGAATCCCGTTTTTCTCAACAAAACGCAGCTGAACGACGCGGAAATCCCCTTCGGCGCGGTGCTTTCACCCCTCTACCAGCCTCTCCACGAGGCGGAAAGGGTGCCTTTGGTGGAGGATCGCCCTCCCATCCGCTGCCAGCGCTGCCGTGGTTACCTATCCTGCCATTCGAAGTTCATTGAAATGGGGCGAAGGTGGCAGTGCACCTTGTGCGAGATGATGAACGACGTCGAGGACTATTTTTTTGCGAATTTGGACGTCAAAGGGTCTCGGGTGGATCGCCTGGAGAAGCCGGAGCTTTGCCGGGGCACCGTGGAGTACGTCGTGGATGCCTACCCCGAGTATTCGCTTTACACCGACAAGAATGAGCTGATCCCGACGCGGCCGCTGCACTATTTATTCCTGATCGACATTTCCAAACCCGCCCTGATGTCGTTCCTCCCGCAGTACGTCGAGGCGGTGGAGAGTGCGGTGGTGGGGATGGCCGCGACGAACCCGCGGCTTCGGGTGTCCTTCATCACCTACGGCTCGCGGTTGCATTTTTACAACTTCCGCGACCCCCGCCTCCCGCAGTTTTGCGTCCCCGACGTCGATCACCCGTTCGTCCCGATCCCGTTCGCGACGGTGGGGTGGTTGGAGGTCGGGGCCGATCTCGAGCGCATCCGGGCCTTCCTGCACGGCGTGCGGCGCTACGCGGGGGATTTGCAGGAGCCCGGCTGCGTCCTCGGCGCCGCCGTGCAGGCCGCGATGCTCGTCCTCGCCGGGCAGCACGGGGGGCGGGTCATTCTCGCTGCGCACGGGCCCCCGCAGGTCGGGATCGGCGCGTTGCCGCCGCGGGATCCCGCGAAAATGGCGGCCGGCGAGCCCGAAAAGGAGGCGTTGCGGCCTCGGGAGGGGTTTTGGACGACCACCGCGGCCGCCGCGGCACGGCAGCAAATCGCCTTTGATCTTTTTCTCTTCCCCACCGCGCCGTGTGGGGAGTTGGTGACGTTGTCGTACCTTAGCCACCTCACGAATGGCGGGGTCCACCTCTTCGCGAACTACGACGCGAACGTCGACGGCACGAAGGTGCGCGCGTTGATGGAGCAAATCGCCACGGATGAATCGGGCTACGCCGGGATCCTCCGCGTGCGTTGCAGCACCGGGCTGAAGGTGCAGCGCTATCACGGCCATTTTTGGTCGAAAACAACGCATGATATGGATTTGGCGTCGATCAGCGGGGGGTCGACGTTTTTCGTCGAGTTTGCCCACGAGGACGTCTTGGAGAAGCAGTCCTACGCCTACTTCCAGGTCGCCCTTCTTTACACGACGCGGGGGGGAAGTCGACGGGTTCGCGTGCAGTCCGTCCGCGCGATGACGGCGAATAACCTCTCCCACGCCTTCACAGGGTCCGATCTGGAGGCGGTGCTCGCGGGGTTTATTTACAAATCCCTCGATGAGGCGGTCAACAAGGGCCTTAAACAGGCCCGGGAGTACCTCAACGTGCATCTTGTCAACTCCCTCGCGAACTATCGCCGGTATTGCACAAAGATGTCGAACTCCAAGGCGTTGCTCATGCCCTCTCGCCTGAAGCTCCTCGCGCTTTATATCTTGTGTTTGCTGAAATCCGATGCGCTGACGGAGGGGCCGGGGGTCCGGATTGACGAGCGCGGTGGCTGCATCTTTAAACTCCTCTCGATGCCGATGAACCTCCTCCTTTCCTACCTCTACCCTGCCCTTTACAGCCTGCACGATACCATCGGCGAGGGCTCCGGTTATGGCTTGATGAACGAAATCACGCAGCGCTGCAACCTCCCACCCCGTCAGCAGCTTATCTATGATAACATCGTCACCTGTGGGGTGTATTTGCTCAGCGATGAGCAGGCGCGGGTGGTGTATTTGTGGATCGGCTCGCAGGTGACGCCGGAGGTGGCGGAGGTGCTTTTTGGGGTGCCCGATGCGAATATGGTCTACCGCGGCGATCACGGCGCGACCTTCGACCACTTCGACGTGCGTCTTCAGAACATCATCTGCGCGTTGACCTACCGCGATGACGGGATGCGGCGGCTCGTCGTGATTCACCAAGGCGAACGCGCCGAGGAGGCCTTCTTTAAGCAGCTGAAGGAGGAAAAAGGACCGGGTATGTGTGGCTACGATGAGTGGTTATCGCAGATCCATACCAAGGTGAGAAACAGTGTTATGTAGAGGGAAAAAAGCAATGGGAGGTGGAGGAGGTGATGCGTGTGATGCAAAGTTGATGAGATAATGATAATGATAGTTTTCTTCCTTTTGTTTGGGAGGGTCTTTTTACTTTTTGGGGGTGCATGAACAGCTAAAGAGGTTGTATTAATGAGTTCATCATCGCATGCCAGGCATGCGTTTTTCAATTCCCATTATCGCATTTTATTTCCTGGTTTGCCCTTTTTGTTGTGAGCCTCACCTCCACCTCTTTTGGGCTCAGTTTGATAAGCGATGGGAAAGCCATGGGTTTTATGGGGTTTGCAGCTTATTATTTTTTTCTTTTCTTTGTTTTAAATAACGTGCCCTCTACTTCCCAGTTCTCAAGATCTTTTTCTTTCCTTAGCAGAGACTGTTTGATGGGTGTTTCCCTATTCTCCGTTTTTTCGTGACTTTACGACAGTGGAATATACCTATCATAGATATTGCGTTTTTACACTTCCCTTTTCATCTGTAAGACGTTCCTGCATTTTTCTTCTTCCAATAATACAGATATTTCACATCATACGCACACATTCTCAGGTACGGGAGTGCTTTTTTTTTCTTCTTCTTTTATTTATTTATTTTTTCTTACCAAGCTGCGAGCATGGATACGCGTTTCCACTGCGTTTACCTCCTCACTAGCCTGGATCCCCAATGCGAGGGGGATTTCTACATCGGCTACACCGTCAACCCCCTGCGGCGTCTTCGGCAGCACAACGGCGAGCTCGTGAACGGCGCGCGGCGGACGCGGCGGCGGGGTCGGCCGTGGACGCTGCTTTGCTGCGTTTCCGGTTTCACCGAAGATCACGCGGCGCTGAAGTTCGAGTGGTGTTGGCAGCACCCCCAGGAGTCCGCGCGGTTGAAGCACATCCTCCCGGGGTTTCTCCGCGGCCTGCATAAACTCCCCTACGCGGTTGGCGTCTTGCATCTCCTGTTGCGTGCACGGTTGTTTGCACGACTGGAGCTGACGTTGCACGTGATGGCGGTCGAGCTTTTCTGGCGGATGTCGGCGATCGCGCGGGCGGGAGGAGGGGGGGGGGGCCCTGGACCGGGGCCTTCCCCGGCGGAACCTCTTCCCCCGCTCACCCCACACGCGTTGCTGCATATCGAGGAAATCACCCCGGAGGCGTTTCAGGCGAAATACCTCGCGCACGACTCCGACGCGGCCTCGCCGCGTTCCGCGCGCAGCCCCCTTTCCTGCCCGTACGACCTCAGCGTGCTTTCCCAGACCGTCCAGGACGCCTGGGGCTCCGACGCCACCCACGCGAAGGCGGAAGAGGAGGGGGAAGAGGGGGGGGAAGAGGAGGGAGGGGGGAGCGGGGGTTCCTCCCCTTGGAGGCGCTCCCGACGGCGCAGGGAGGCGCCGGATCGGAGTGGGGGGACGTCCACCGCGACGACGCCCCCGCGAGGCGCCCCCGCCGAGGGGTTTTTCACCCCCGAAACGACCCCCGCCCTCCCGCGGCGGTTTCGATTTTACGCCGACGACGACTTCGTGCGGGAGTACGCGCGGGAAACGGCGGAGCTCCGGCGCGGGTTGCGCGCCTGCACCTTCTGCGCGTTGCCACTTCGGGCCCCGTACATCCTGCGCTGCCCGCGCGCCCCGTTTTGCGGATTAGCCTCGCATATCGTCTGCCTCGCGATGTGGATGCGGCATTCCTTTGACGAAGCGGAAGAGACGAGAAAAGGGGAGCCCGGGGTCGCGTCGTTTCCCGCGTCGTCGTCGTCGTCGTCGTCGTCGTCGTTGCTGCCGACGCGGCCGCGGCCGTGCGCGTTGTGTGGGGAGCTCCTTCATTGGGGGTCGCTCCTCCGTCAGCTGCGGGAGCGCGCGGTGCGGGAGGAGCGGCTGCGCGCGAATCACCGCCGCGTGGAAATGGAGCGGCGGCTGCAGACGAGACTCGCGCGCGCGCATCAAATCGCACGCGGGCGACGACGCCCGTTGCCTTTTTCCCCGTCGAGCTCCGCCCTCACGCGAGGCCATACGCGGCGGTCTCCCGTAAGGGAAGGGGAGGAAACGCGCGCGAAGTCGATTTCGCCACCGGCGCTCATCATTCAGGTGAAAAGGCGCGGGCGAGGCGACTCGCCGGTGCGTCACCGTCCCGCGGAGTCGATCGATCCGACGGAGGAGTGGATCTCGGAGGATCACACGCTGAAGCTCACCGATTTCGACGAGAATGAATGGTTAGATTATTAGAACAATCCATACGCAACGTAAACTCCTATTACCACAAGAGGGGGAGCCGATGCCCATCATCAGGAGTGTTGTATGCTCGAAGGGTCCCCTTTTGGAGAGTGGTATTCTGGTTTGCGGACTTTGTGCGAGCATTAGAATATCAAAATACATTGCCATAGTAATTTGTTTATGCGTTACCGTTATCCATGCATATTTTTTTCACTTGTGTTATGCTATACATGCGTTTTCTTGCCATTTTATTTCTTTATTATTGTCATTATCCATGCCCCTCCTCCTCCTAATATAATTATCTCTTCTCTAAAGCAAAAATAAGTTTTTACTTGATAGATATTTGTTCTTTTTTGCATAGTTTTCATTTTTACGCAAATTAAGTGCTTTCGTTGCTATTGTTTTATAGCATTTCGCACATAAGTCGCTTCATTCAACGTTATAGAATTATAGTTTCACTACCTACTCATCTCTGTTAACTCATTTCACGGCAAAGCATACCCCGCCTCTTCCTTCACACGGGAATCATATAGACGAGAAATCCATTCATTGGGAAAGTCGTGAGATTAAGCTTTGCTCAAGATAGAATCTAGAATTCCAATAAAGCACCATCATCCGTGAAGGAAGATCGAACGAATCGTTGCTATTTTTTATTTACCATTCTCTTTTTTTTCCTAGTAGGTTCCGCTTAACTTTGGAAAAATTGTGGTCAGCTTATTAGGTGCTATTTTGTTTTGAGATCGCAAGTAACATATATCCATACACCAATATACTTAACCTACGACCTATCTATCTATCTACCTCTATATAGATATCACTACTTATCTATATTATTGAAAAACTTACAGAGAAAGTGTGCGTGCATCAGGGAAAGAAGAGAGAAGACCCTGTTTTTCTTTTTTTCTTTCTCCTATCCATTCATTGATCCACTAACATCTATCGATCTATCTATCTATATATAGAACTATATATATATATATCGATCGATATATCGATAGGTATTTAAACGGTATCTATCCATTCATCCATTCTCGTCGCGTGATCGATGACAGCGCTCCCGAGCACGGCTGAGGAGCCGTCCTCCTTCGACGTCGACGCGCTCATCCAGCACGTCTTGCAGTGCAAACCCCTCAGTGAGCGTCAGGTGCTGCGCCTTTGCGAGAAGGGAAAGGAGGTGCTGCAGGCGGAGTCGAACGTCCACGCGGTGCGCGCCCCGATCACCGTCTGTGGCGACGTCCACGGCCAGTTTCACGACCTTCTCGAGCTTTTTAAGATCGGCGGGATGCCGCCCGATACGAATTACCTTTTTATGGGCGATTACGTCGATCGAGGGTACTACAGCGTCGAGGCGGTGACGTTGTTGTTGCTTTACAAAATTCGCTACCCCGCCCGGATGCACCTCCTCCGCGGGAATCACGAATCCCGCCAGATCACGCAGGTGTATGGGTTTTACGACGAGTGCGTGCGGAAGTACGGCGGGGCCGGGGTCTGGAAGGCGTTGACGGATCTTTTCGACTTCCTCCCGCTCTCGGCGGTGGTGGAAGGGGAGATCTTCTGCCTCCACGGCGGGCTCTCCCCCACGCTCGATTCCCTCAGCCACATTCAAAGCCTGGATCGGCGGCAGGAGGTGCCGCATGAGGGGCCGATGTGCGACCTTCTTTGGTCGGATCCGGAGGAGCGGGATGGGTGGGGCATCAGCCCTCGCGGCGCCGGCTTCACCTTCGGCGCCGACATGACGGAGCAGTTTTGTCATAACAACGGCCTCAAAACGATCGCCCGCGCGCATCAACTCGTCATGGATGGCTACAGCTGGGCCCATCAGGAGAAGCTCGTGACGATCTTCAGCGCGCCGAATTACTGCTACCGCTGCGGCAACCTCGCCGGGTTGCTCGAGCTCGACGAGCATATGAATAAGTGCTTCTTTCAGTTCGACCCCGCCCCAAGGCGAGGGGAGGCGCAGGTGTCGAAGAAAACCCCCGATTACTTTTTGTGAGCTCACGAAGGGAGGGCGGAAGAGAGGGGGGGGGGGGAGGTTTGTGTACCCCCTTCCTTTCTGTTCTTTCCACCCGAGAGATCAACCACGACGATTCACATGAGTAATAATAATAAACATTGCCTCCTTTCCGTAGAGAGGGGGAAGGGTGCAAATTCGATCAGAATCTGTTGAACCGTTGGCTCTTATTGATTATTGTTGTTATGATTGTTATTGGGTGGCGTCCATTGAACGAAAAGGAAAAGAATCTCTTTCTTAACTTCCTAGGATATTACCAGTGTATTGGTATAGATTTACACTTCACTTACTTGGCAGAGTAAAGGGTAGGGTGGGATGGGTTTAGAGAGGTTTTTTTTTTGTAGAATTGCGGAATCAAAGTCCGTTCTCGGTGTTTTTTTTTTGATTGTTTCATTTTCCAATGTTGCGGCTCTTTTACACGAAGCGAGTTCCAATTTGTTGCGGATTATATTAAAAACTAAATACCAAATATCACCAATAATAATGCTATATAGTAGTGAACATAACTAAAAGAAGATTTTTCTTTTTTTCTTTGAGAGGGCGTCTTCGCGTGCACTTCTTTATTTTCCATTTTCCAATGCTCTCTCGACACCCATTTTTTTTTTTATTATGCTTGCATTTGATACTTGTCTGAATAAACTTTTTACGCAGTAGGAAGTTAGTTGTTCTTTCCTCCCTCCAGAAAAAATACACTAAAATGATCATCCCCGTTCGTTGCTATTCGTGTGGGAAGGTTATAGGGCACATTTACGAGCAATATCAGGCTCTTCTCGACCAAGATTACACCGAAGCGGAGGCTTTGAATGCCTTGAATTTAGAGCGGTATTGCTGCCGTCGGATGATTCTTGCCCATATCGATCTCGCGGATGATCTCATACCATACAGCGCTCCTGTGGTGGGTACGATGCCGTTGATGACTCCGCTCCAAACCCCAACTCCTCATCGCCGTTAGGGCATGCACACATTTATAGGCTTTCTTGTGCTTTTAGCTTTTCTTTTTTAAAACGAAAGAGTTAAAGCAAGAATAATATTAATGAAAAGAAAGAGTTGTGTAGAGTTGAAAATCTGTCGGGAATGGTTTCCCTTTTCAGGCTTTTTTTTTTTGCTCTAAATGTGGATTGCATTGGGGTCTCATTTAGGTTCTAAATGACTTTTTTCTTTTCTTCGTGTAAAATTAATATGAAATATCACATACCTTGAATCCAATGAGCTACTAAAACGTTGCCATATTGCAGCACGCACCCTGATATGATATGTTTTTTATCATTCAGGAGGAAAAAAGGTAAAGGATAATATCTCCACCTTTTTTTTCCCGCAATTTCCCTTTCTATTCTCCAACTTACCCATTTGTATAGTCTTGGGCATTTGTAGAAGTCCCTGGTTTTTTTTGTCAACGGCTCTGTCTTTCTTTTTTGGGATTCCCTTCTTCGTCTTTTCGAGCTTTTCCATTTTTCCGGCCGCTTCGATCCGTTGAAAGGCGAGATGCCCGTACGTCGGGCGCTTCCCTCCGCCACCCCCCCTACTACCCCTCCCACGGGCGGATCCTCCTCCATCGTAGGAGGAGGGGGCAGTGATAAAACTCCCAAACTCAGCAAACCCGCCCCCACGGATCTCCCCTACACCGGGGAGGAAAAGGCCTTTCTCGCCAGCCTGCGATCCCCTTCTTCCGGGGGGGCGACCCTCGCGAAGGTGGCGGAGACGTGGGGGTCCGGCACCGCGTTGGAGATGCTCGCGGGCATCACGGAAAAGATCCTCGGCGTCGCCGCGGAGCGATTCCTCCTCGAGCAGCAGCACGCGGGAAACGCCCGGATTGGTTCCTCCCCTTCCGCTGGTGGGGGGGATCCCGTCAACGACGAGGATGGGATGCGGTCTTCCCTCGTGCCGGAAACGAATTCGATGGCGGCGATGATTAGCGGGATTCCTTCTTTTTCCACCCCCCTCACCCCTGCCCAGTTTGCGGAGGAAAACGCGTACATCCTGGAGCAGCTTAGGACCTTTCCGGAGTGCCCGTTCACCGTTCAGCGGTTGGTGGAGATTTTGGAAAACCCGTTTCGGCATTACGCCGGTGCGAAGGATGGCGGGCTGCGGGCGGAGGCCTTGCAGAAGGCGATTCGACGATGCGTGATGGTGACGTACCCGTTTACGACGGGCGGGGGTGAAGAGGGCATCGGGAGCCTCGTCGACGGCGGGGAATCCTCCGCGAAGACGGCAATCGCGAGTAAATAAAACCCCCATCCATAAGCCGGGTTGACCAAACGAGAACGGGAACGAGAGGGAGAGGGGAGAGTGGGGGGGAGGGAGGGGGAAAGGGAAGGTGAAAAGAAGAAAAAAGAGCCGAAGGGCGTTTGGCTGTGGAGTTCGTAAAATGGATCGTGATGTGTTGTAGAGTGTGGAGGGGTGCTACCATTGGGTGCGTCGTTGGTGATTTTGGATATCGTTTTTGGATAGGTAGATACATCCTTATTCTAGCGGTAGATCTCCCTTGCCTTTACGCACCTACTCTTTTACACACCGTTGCACAAGGATATGATGAGGGAAAGGGGGTATAGTAACAAAAAAAAAGAAGAAAAGTAGTGCATCAATTACTCTGGAAGAAGGAGAGATGGTGGATCCGCGCGGGGGGGGGTGCTGTGCGTCTAGAGTGATAGGTGCACGTCGTTTGGTATTTGCTGCATGTATTGATCTGATACCGTGTTGCGGTTAGCGCAGCTGCTCATTTTTCCCTTCCCTTTGTCTCTTAGTTTCAGAGTACCTCTTGTCATATATTTTGTTTTCCGCCTTCCAGGAAGAAAACATTTACACGGCGGTTGTGGTTTGCTCGTTTCGTATTTGTAGAATACTGTGGCAAATGATGCCTTCCTTTTTAAAAATCCAACCTTTTTGCATCTTTCTAAGTTTCTTTCTTTTGTTAATGGAAAAAGGGTCTAACAAAAGGGATTAGATTTTCTTTTCTCAAGGGATCCTCCGCTCCTGTTTAAAAACAAATAGTCATAGCAACCCCCACTTCCTCGCAACAATTCAAGGTGAAAAGCGTGTATAAACTCTTATTGTTGTTCTTTTGTTACTGTTATTAGATCACTTTCACCTTTTTTAGTTGTGTGCTTTGATAGCCTCGAGGTTGATGGAGCCCCACGTGTTTTGCGGTCCGGAGTTCGTGCTCGAGGTCCTGCCGAGCGCGGTGGAGCGTGTGCTAACGCGGCAAACCCGTAGTAAAGGGGGTGATGCGCAGGCAACGCCCCCTGCTCTCCCCACGACTTCTTCTTCCTCTTCTTCTGCGTTACCCCCTTCCACTTCGTCGGATCGCGCGGAGGCGAGCGTGGCGGGTTGGCAGGTTTCGCCAGCCTGCCTTTTGAGTTTTCAAACCGAGCTGATCTCCCTCTGCTCCCCCCTCACGCGCCGCCGGCTTCACCGTAGCGAGGAGTATCCGCTGGAAACGAGCCCCACCGCCCTGGTTTACCCGGGCGATGCGTATTATCAGAGCGTCGGCCCGCTTCCCCCGCCGGTTTCGCGGTTGAAATACCTCACGGCGAGGGCGTCGGGAAGTCTAAGCGTGGAGGAGGCGGCCTCGCTCGCGCAATCCGTCAAGGCCTTCCGCCGCCACGCGCGATTTAGCGGCGAGGAAAGCACCCCCGCACACGTGTATCTTCTCCTGAACCTCACGGATTCCCGGATCGCCGCGGAGGTCTACCTGCTTTGCCTGCGCAACGGCTGCATCTCGCTCTCCCCGCAGTGCCGGGTGTTCAATTACTTCCGCAGCACCGCGATCCGCTCCGCGCCGATCGACGCGGCGGAGATTCTGCGCAAACGCGAGGCCCTCCGGCGGCGGTGGAACCTCGACGAGGATCTTTTCGCCGCCCTCGAGGCCGGGATGCGGGATCCCGCCGTGGAGGACGTCAAACGTCGCGCGCTACTCCCGCCAAACGAGCGGGATCCGAGTGGGGGGCGGCCGATTTCGTCGATTTCGTCGTCGTCCGCGCATCTCGCGCGCGTCGCGGCGCTGCTCGCGTACTGCGATGCCCACGTCCACGACGCCGGCGTGCTCGACGCCGCCGAGGCCGCGAGCCCCTTTCTCCTCGCGATGGGGCTCTTCCACCACCTCGAGCTCACCGCGGGGGATCTTTACGTGCACTTCGTTCGCCACCCGCGCCGCGTCGTGCGCGCGCTCGGGCTCTTTCTCGCGCGGTATCTCCTCCCGCCGGAGGAGCTCCCGCCGTTTTTTTATCCCTCCCTCGACGACGGCGTCGTCATCGCGTGCGCCGGGGAGGGCTGCGCGATGCGCACGCTCAGCCGCCGCCTCCTCCTCGAGGCGGAGGTCGGCGAGGCGTGGCTGCCCGTCCTCGCGCGGTTTTGGCTGCACACGACGATTGAGCCCGCCCTGGAGGCGATGGCGCGATACCGC